ATTACAAGATGGATGAGATGTTAATTGGTTGACGCACAGATGCGCGTATGGGTAGAGAAGGCGCATGCTCTGAGAACACCATCTGTGAGCGTGCCTCAGCTGGAAAGTTTACAGCTCTGCTAGCATGAGACTTATGTCACAGCAGAGCAACTCACTCTCACTTTTCCTACGTCAACATGGGAAAGTCCAATGTTAACACAGCTCTGCAGCTTCCAGACCACAACTGGCTTGTATATGGCCAGCTTGAAAAGTGGGCATTTGCCAAAGTGGACATACCTAAAAGAGAATATAATTATGTGTGTAATGGGTCCTTGCCGTACAGATGGTCCCCCTGTTAATACTGAAAGCAACGTGCTGCCATGATTAATTTTCATCCCCACGTGTGTATGGCACATAGACAACAAGCTCTGAACCATGATACCCATCAAGGGTATGGAGGTCAGCAGGAGCCTGCTGGAGTGGAGGGGACTACTGCAGAAGATGAGTGTGCCCCAGGTTCCCTAGGCAGTAGGCAGATGGGAGATCCAGCCAGCCAGGGATCTGGCAGCTGCACCTGAACAGTTATTTGGCCCTTGTTAGGACTGCAGAAATAACCCTTTCCCTTTTCCAGGCAGAGAGCCTTGTCTTCCAGCAGATGTGAATCCATCTACCCCTCTGCAACACGTGTGGAGGAAAGCAGCACAGAGCCGACACAGAACCCGTGTGCAATTCCAGCCACTGCAGTAAGTGGCTCCTTTGCTTCTGAGAGCAAAGAGGTCTGTGCCTAAAAGAATAAATCATATGATGTAGATGGAGGAATTCGTGCCTTCTGTTAATCATACTGGAAATATGAGGGCGCCTGTTAGCTTCTTCTGTGCAAGTAAAAATAACTTCACTTGACTCCTTCTTTTTCCTTATATATATATTCCTTTCTGATTCTCCATTTGCATCACAGTGCTATTCTGATTCCCAATACTATGGGAATATATATGTATTTTTTCATATGATCTCTTTTCTTTCCGGATTAGGCTAGTGACTTATTGTATCCACCAAGGACATTTCTGAAGTCAGACCAGTACATGAATCCCCTTTCTTTGCCTCCAGACTTTTTTCAGAACTTGAGAGAACACCAGTAATTCAAATGCAAGTAGCAGTGCTGGGAATGGTTTCTGGCTCATTGTAATTACTGACACAAAGGCAGTTAAATAGAGTTACTGATAATTCTGTTATGAGGAGGATATAGCAAAGTGGAAAGATACCCTTCCTCCTTCCTATCCTACATAAAAATAACTGTATTCTAAAAGGGCAGGAAATAGACAGAAGTGTGTTTTTTTTTCTTTTGTTTATTTTGGTTTTTGTTTTCCCTTTTAGCCTAAGCCTCAGGATGACAAGCTGATATGCCCAAGAAGGCCTACTAAAAACAGGGGATCAAGGTTCAGCAGTAACATAAAACAAAATGAACAGAGATTCCATTAGAGATTTAAAATGACAAAATTAAGGTCAATTCATTTAGGTCAACTAAGGAATGACCTAGTTATTAACTATGGACCATTTTATGTGGCTAGAATACCTTGTTTGCTGCTTTGGAGAAGCTGTCCCCTAGATCCTGTGGCATATCTGCCAGCCCATGTATATGTCTCCCATGCCCTGGGGCATCTCAAGAAGCACTAGATGCCTATACCTAGGTACTAGTCACTTATATGTTGTCATTTGGATGTCTTCATTTTGAACCAAACATCTCACAGAGTATCTTTCAGCTGCTCTGATATACTTCGTTTTGTTTTATTCTGTGCATAAATTTATCTGAAGAAGGCATTTGGTTGTTTTTGGAAAGAGAATCAATTTTGTAGAAAAAATACCATTGTCAGATCTTTATGTGCCTGCTCTTGTAATATAAATTGGTAAGACCTCAAAAATAACTTAATCTGAATAAAAGCTAGCATGTATTTTTCAAGAGCAAACATACCTGACAAATCCTATTTCCTTCTGCTGTAGGGTAACCAGATCTGGGAGGAGACAAGAGGCACATACTTGTCACATAGTACTCAGTGAAGCTTTTGGCACTGTCTCATATGACAATACTTAGAAAAAAAAAAAAAGGAGATGTTATCAGACTGAAACTACCACAAGTGGGTATAAGAGCAGTTAGAAAAACTCTGCTCAGAGAATATTTATAATTAAGTTCATTGTCAAAATATTGGCACGGAAAGGTACTTCTCAGAGGAAGGGAGGGTCTGTCTCAGGCTGAACAGAACTCGTTTAGTTCCCAGTCACCCCAAAGAAGAGAACAGAAGACATATTTATTACATTTGCAGCTGACACAAAGCTAGACTTTAAATTCATTGCAGCATAAGATTAAGAACAAACTTGATACCAACAAGGTGGGATTAAAAACAGACATGTTTCTGACAGGGTGAAGACAGAGTGAAGGTAGCTCTCCAGAAGAGTCTACAGGGGTTGTGTTGGTTGTGATGGGTATGTTATTCAATATTGCCATGGTGTTATGAGAAATGCAAGCACCACATTGGGATTTGAAAACTGGTGGTACCTCTGAAAGATGATTGCTTTTATCCTTCTGCTCTTCAAATAGTTGCTAAAGTCTTACACTGAATTTTCTATCCAGTTTTCGGCACAGTCTTTTTAATAATAGCAGCTTGGATCAGTTGAAAAAACTCTGCAAGGGAGCAATATGAATGATGATAAATCTTGAAAAACATGGTCAATGGGAAAGACAGAAGCAATGGGGGAATTTTGACTGGGAGAGAGAGAAAGAGAAAAAAAAAGAAAGAAACCCTGCAGGTGATGTGATGTTTATCTTCAAGTACAGCAAGTGAAACATTTCTGTATTTGGATGTCCATTGCTCTTGGTGTCTACATTAGCTTCTACTAAGGTCATTCAGTAGGTCCATGAGTGATCTGGCTAACACTGCATTTGTGCTGATATGCCACAACACCATAAAGGGGTTCAGCATATACTTTGAGAATGCAAAGGATGTATTTGGTATTACCACTTGGGCCTGGCCTAGTCCTGCCTGGAAGAACTGATAGGAGACCAACACAAGACTGGAATAGTTGCAAGCACACTGACTTCGTCGAGTTTCCCATGACTAAAATGATTATAAAGCATGTTAATTCAAAGAACTACTAACTATGTGTCATGTCATGCCTCTGCCAGGAAAAAAGTGTACAGTTTATAAATCTTGTATTTTAGTTGGCTCATATACTTTATACTATTTTCATTTTTTATATAATTAAAGGTGACTAAATAGGTGCAATTCTCTAGCAGGAGCTCAGTATGCTATTCTGAGCAAGTTTAGATAAGGTATCTCTGAGGCAAGGCTGCAGGAATGTGATGGAAAGCTGTCTTTCAGCCAAAAGTGAAATTAAGCATTGTCTTTTACTCCTGGCTGGAATTTCTGACTCTCGTACATTCCCAAAACTATGTCAATTCAGAGAGAGAGAAAAAAACACTCAGAACTTTGATTTACTCATCTTGTCCACACCTCATTACTCTTAGTAAACCCTGTGTCTGTTCTCCGCCTAGCTGGTACACACCTCCAAATTTAGCTTTGCTGTTATTACTCTTTAACAGTTCTATACCATAATTTAATTTTGTTTTAGTAATGTTTTAGTTCCTGTGAAGTTATGTAGGACAGAAAGCTTGTGTGAGCAAGGAAAAGTGGCTGGGTTTCACGTATTCACCTTGATCTAATGTGATCTTGATCTATGGCTGGGAGCCCTTCCTTTCCTCTTGGCATGAAGGTTGTTATCCTGGGTCATAAAAAACATACACACACACACAAAGTAAACAAACAAAAAAACAGGCAAACCCACCCATGTGTTGACCTGATGTTTTCACACATTGTAGCTTTCACTGTTTTTCTCAAGGCTAGTACTGGGATGGATTTCTGGAAAACTGCCTCCAGCCATATATACCCTATGATTCCCTGTCAATCGGAATTCCTTAGTGAGGCTGTGATTCATGAACAAATTGCTAGTATGTTGACCATTATCTTAAACTGAGATCACATAAGGTTTAATTACCACTCTTACTTTTGCTAAGCTTAATTCTGCCCAAACTAAAATTATTACTGAAAATCAAAGGTTTACTTTAGCAGAAATGAGACGTAAAGTTAACATTCTTTATTACAAAAAATCAAAACACATTCTTACAATCCAAAAACTTGCTAATAAATTGTTATTTCTTTTCATATCCACAATTTCCTTAGCTGAGTAAAAGAAAATCACTGACAGATGGTCAAAGTACCATCTTTTATAACCCATATCATCTAGGTTACACATTCATTTATACATATCCCACAATGCATCTGCAGATTTTTATTCCAATAGCTAAACTTCAGTTCATTTACACTTACATAAATTCTATATTTTAACATCACTTGGAGCACAATAACCTTACAAAGATTTTGTCAAAATCTTTCTGTATTACAGTGACTGTGGTTACATTTTATTAATATTCTCAATAGTGACCCTTAAGTCTTGGCAAAACGTCCTTGTCATCCAGTATCAAACATCCTCACCACCTTCACCACATTCCATTCCAACAGCTTAGCACAAAACCATCCAGCAGTGCTCTTAACCACTTCAGTAGTACCTGCTTTTGTGTAAAAGTCAAATTAGTACTACTTCTGCTATATCAACACACCAAGCTCCTGCGCCTAGGGACCTCACAGAGACACTGTACCCGCCTAGTGACATCATTTACCAGAAACCTGGGTAGGGTCAGCTAGAGCCAGAAAAAAGTTGCTTTGTTTTCCCACCATGTTATTGGAAGGACTCAGGGTTTTCAAGAAGATAACATTGATTCCACAATTATGTTGAGAAATACTTATTGAGGTAAGGCCTTACTTGCATGTGAATTAGGATCATAGATTGACTTTTAGGCAGCAGACATAAAAAAAATATTTTCTTCAAATGGTAAAAACTAACAACAGTAGTGAAGCAAGTTGCCACAATCTGTGGAAATAAGTTACAGTCTGAAAGCTTTCACCATTTCAATAACCGTTGATGTTACATACCACAAAGGTAAGGAGAAGAGTGTTGTTTTACAAAAAGTTTTCATGCTGTAATGGATATTTCAAATTTATTTTTAATGAGTAGAAAAGGAAAAGAATATGTTCCCAATTCCTTTTTACTTCGTTTGTACTTCAGTTCCATTATTTTCTGCTGTTTTTCCTGACTCTGAAACCCCTAGGCAGGACAGCCTCGGTGTGCCTTTCCAGTCCAGTTTCACAGGCCATTCTGACAATCCTTGCAAATAGGAATCCACAGACTCATCCCTCCAATGCATCCCAGACTGCCTCAGTGCTGCCCATATTCCACTTTTCCTTATGACTTGAACTCCATTAAATTCTTGTTTGCCAACCCTTTTCCAAAGTATTTGCCTGGTTCAGGTGTTTTTCTGACAGTTTCCCTTAGTTAACTTTCCTGGAGCACTAACTCTTTTCCCATCAGAAAATCTTTTCTACAGAAACTCTCATCTTTTATTTGAACTTCTTTTTTTTTTTTTTTTCTATCAGCATGAAGTGTAAACAGTCTTCACTATAACATTTCTCCAGTGTGAGTCATTTCCTTCCCTTTTATGAAGAACAAGCAGTTAGCAATATTTTGCATGTGAAGGACTTTTTCAACAGTGCACTCTGTTAACCTGAAGGATGGATCATTCCTCACCACAGCATCATTATAGATAAATACTCATGCTGTTTAGAAACAGATGAAAAGAAACCTCTGAAAGAAGAGTGTACAGTTTAGAGAGGTGAGTCTAGGGTAAAACCCTGGAAAAAGGGATATTTACATTCATCCACAGAATATTTTTCTCTCCCCATTAAGATTTTCTGGAAGGTAGCCATCCAAAACAATCTGCCATGAATATCAAAAGGAGTCTCAGTTATCCTTCAGAAAACCAGCTCTGTTTCCTTTACAGAAGATGCAAATAACTTACATAGTAGAATAAGCACTTTTGACCTCAGCATCCAACTTGCATGTTAAAGAACCAGCACTTCTCTTACACATTCCTTTTAACTTATAGTTGTTGGCTGCTTTTTGCATTATAAAAGAATTGTGCTGGGGTTCCACAAAAACAAACAAACAAACAAACAAGAACAACATTTGGCACAGGTAGTGTATGTTTGATACTTGTACTCAGTCTAGCATATCAATATATGTTTACTGTTGTGAGGAATGAAAAATGTACTCATGCTAACTGGAACCTAGATATTCTAGTTTTAGTAAGATGTTAATTACATGTAGTTGATTAAAGAATTCAGGAAATGCTAGAGAACATCTAATGGCAACGTCTATTAAACTTTAAGGACAATGTAAGAACAGTGTTAACTATTATTACATAGCATTTTGAGACAATTGGTTAAACTAACCAGTTAAGTGTTTTAAATACTTCTGCATATGAATGATGCAAGAGAATGCATGTAAGCATACATAATCTGTAAGAAGGTTTGTTCTGTGGTCAGACAGAAGCATTTTCATTCATTGAGTTTACCTGGATGGCCATTTTCTGTAAAAATTATTACGAATAACTTACTTTGAAAAAACAAAGGCTTAGTGCCTTGAAGAGTCTTTGGGTAGGAGAGATGTCCACATGTAATATGAATGTGACTTACAATGTTCCATCTTGTCCATATTTAAGATGCAAAGCTCTGGCTTTGATTAGGCCAATGAAAAATTGCCTGCTTACCTCTGAAGTCAGAAGTTGTCTGTATATTTCTGTATTCTATTGAAAAAACAGGTTTCTTTAAAAAAAATATATAAATAAATAAATAAATTGACACTGCAAAAGTGTCAATATTTAATTTTCTAAATTAGACTGTAGAGTGATAGTCATTTGATCTGTCTTTCTTTGTCTAAAAAGCAGGCATTAAGTGCATGCTAGCTGTCTCTAACTCCTTAGAAGACCAATGAAGAAAGATCAGTAATGTGGTTGGATTCTCCCTGTTCCAAGTTAAGATGCTAAAATATCTGGGATGAATAGACTCCTGGAGATGCTATTCATTTCTCATTCCTTATAGAAGATGTCTAGAAAATATACTTAGGCCCAGTCAACTAACATTTGGGCATTTATATTGAAGAAAACCGAATCTAGTTCACAAAGCAGAAACTTTGAGGTTCCTGCTATCCTATGAAGTAACCTTGATTTCTACGGACCTAATTTCTACTATGTTCCTAGCCTGACTGCATTTATTTTCATACCAGTATTGACTTCTACACAAAAATCTTATTCACCTTTCCTGATGCTACACCTAGACAAATGTTTACAGACACAAGAACCCCATCTCCCTTCAGCCATCATCTGTAGCTTCAGCTAATGAACTGCAAGGCCTACCTGCCCCACAAGCACTATTGAACCTGGGGCAGGAGGAGACTACTTTCCATGTCCTTACAGAAACATGGAAAAATAATCTCAGCCTTCTGACACAAACCTTCCTATGAGGACAAATGGTGCTTAAAATTTACTCTTTGAACCTGCATTTCCCATCTGTAACAGAAGATGGGGAAGCTAGTGGAGAAATGTCTGAATCTTGCTAGTTGAGGTAGTTTAACCTCAGGTTCCTTTGCCAGAGGGGCCTGGGTAAAGCTTTGTAACATAATTTTGTTGCCATAGTAGATGTGGGGACAAGACTAGCCTGTGGCCTCACTGTTCCTGTCATGACAGAGGTCAGGGAAAGATTAGAGCTGGAGACCTTTTGGATCTAGCTTGCCTCTCCTACTACATTTGGGGAAACCCAAAGCATGATTTGAGGAAAGCTGAACCCACATACAACAACCAACCATTCTGCATGATTTGCAGAAATTTAAATTCCCTACACAGATGAAAGGTTCTCAGGACCTAAAGCGAAAACACATTTCTGTGCATTAGAATCAACACAAGTGCAGGTGGTTTATACCAAATCCATAAAAATATTTTCCTGTCACTGTATCAAACAGCAGTTTTTTACCTGGAAAAAGTGACATCTATTCCAATGTCTATATAAAACCAGTCACATTTTTTAATTCTACATGCTTCTTATAAAGTTAAAAATAGATGAAAGCATTCATAACTTGATAGTAATTCAGCCTTGAAACTGGTTAATGGTTTATTTAGGTTCCAAGCTTGGTGAGAACTCGTTACTTGTTCCTACTATATTCATCCTGAGAGATTTCCAAGTAATACTAATATGAAGCACTGACTTCATAACAGCAGAAAGACAAAGTGTTCCTGTTTCATACTCTCCATGAAGGGATTCAGGAAGGCATTATCAAGATTGTAACAAGAAAATGTGGTTTGGGTAGAGTTTTTTGCATTACAAACTGTTAATAAATATTTTTTCTATTGTTCATTTGTATAACGTTCAAAAATTTATCCTAATTTCTACAATTGGTCTTGCATTTGTAAGAATTCACAGCATTACTTGGGGCACTTTCTTAATACTACCTCCTGTTTGTCTAAATGTATGTAAATGTATGTAAATGCAATGCAAGAATGCTATGACCAGCAAAAAAAGAAAAAAGGAAAACAAAAACAAGCAAACAAACAACAACAACAAAAAAACACACAAACAACCAAACTATTAATTTTACAGTAAAAGGGCAGAGTCTTGTTTTTCAATTGTTTCAGCAGTTGTGATAATTTGTACTGATCATTATTCATGCATGTGACAAGGCTGAATCCAGTTGTGTTTCTCTCTTCCTACCCACAAAATTAATTTTGATTAAAATTGATGTTTGCTGTGTTTATGAGCAGAATTACACTTTCCTGAACTCAGTTTGCACTAGTACTCAGTAGCTAGGTCTCATTTTATTCTTCACTTTTACCCTCTGCCATAAGCAACTGACTTCACATCAGCAAAATTTGCTTTCAAGTTATCTTGACAAAAGCCTAACAGTTCTGGATTTATATATGTATATATATATAGCGTGTGTGTGAAAAAGGTAGCATTTTCAACTCTTAATTTTTACAGATGTTCAATGAGTATTTGGATGTAAAGTGATGAACAGAATGAAAGAGAAGGCAATCAGCTGAAGAAATTAAAAAGATATGTTACCGCTTTTATTAACAAACAAATCTCCATTTGCTCATTTCTATTTCTGGGTTGGGTCTACCTCTGATTGTAATCGTTATGATTCACCAGAGAATGAATTGTGAATCTTTCCACCTCTACCCACACTTACAAATTTACATGAACACATTTTATTCTCAATTTGTCCATAACTACTACTCACACAGAGATGACAGAAATAAAGTCCAAATTGCCCCATGCCAATAGGAGATGTTATCACTGTGCTAGGAGCACCTTCATACCTGCCATACGAAGGCAGTCCACATGAAGTCCATATGAAGGACAAGTCCATATGAAGGACTTGTTCTGAATTACAAAAGGAATTAGTCCCTGTGTTTCCCAAAAGAAAAGGATCTTTCTAGTCTGGGAACTGCTGTTGGAGAGGACAAAGAATATATATATATATATATATATATATAAAATATAAAATATATATATAATAACTATAATATTATATATATATATTTTAAAAACAGCAAAACCCAAACTTGCTTATATTAATGAGGCTGAATATATATATACATATATTGCTATTCAAGGGGACTTGTTACAGTGATATCCTAAAATAATATGCTATTCCTCTGGATGTGCTCCTTAATCAGGTTTCATAATACTGCTTTAATTAGAGGGCAATACTATTAAGCCAAATATAATGAAATAAAATAATTCCATTTGTAGAAGAGTGAAAGGCTTATCTGAATTCTTTCTTTAACTTCTACATAAAAAATATTCTTGTTTCAATAACATAGTACAGTAACATTTTTACTTTCATTTAATTTTCTGTAAGCCTCATGAAAAAGGTAATTTTCAATGAAATTAAAAATAAATCCAACTTTTTAAAACATAAAGGTATTCCCCCTTACACACACACTTCTTGCTACTCTAACTTTTGATGTCTGAAAATAAGAGTAGTAGCATAAAGAAAGAAGAAATGGAAAGATAGCAGAAGAATATTTTCAAGGGAATAATTTGTTACCCACGTAACAAATCGAGGGGAAAAAAAACTAATAAAAATGCTAGTTAAAACTTTAATATCCTCTTATGTGGCAGATGGCTCTCATTTTAAAATATTTCAGTGGTCCAACCATGTAAAACTTTTGTTTTCAATTGTTTTGAGTTTAATGACTATTAGGCAAAACATAAAGCCTCCATTTGCAGTCTTTTAAAGGAGACTATAAGCTATTTTATGAATGCATGGATTTTCAGAAATAATCCTAATTACTATATGTCTGTGTACACTATAAAGAAACTAGGTGGTATTCCTTGTGAAAAAAACATCTCCATGCATTCAAATAATTATATAAATTATGACAAAAACTTAAAGGAAGTGTGCTACTAAACTTGTTTTCTTATTCATTTTTAAAAAGAAGGCCAAGAACAATAGTCTTAAGTTGAAAAATTATATAAAAGCTTATCTATCTTTCTGTAAAAGCAGCACAGCACCTGCTAAGAGAATTGTTCCCACTCTGCTTTGGGGAAACAGCAAAGCGTTGCCCAAACAATTCACCCAAGAAGAATGTTATTGAACCATACATTTTAAAGCACACCTGTGCTGGCCTTAGGAAACAGCTCATGAGAAACTGCAGTTTTGCTAGCAGTTAATGTGCTTTCTACAAAGATATGATTTAATAGGAATGCTGAGCTGTTAGCACACAGGCTACTGCTTTACTCGGCTGGTGACCCCTTGGAAACTGAAAATTCATGGGGTTGTACCTACCTTTATGTAAATCTCTTTTGAAGTCAACATATGTAAAAACTCTGGACAAAAGTAGAATAAAAAGAGAATCAAAGCCTGGGGCTGTCATCCCTGCCCTTCTGCTTTTATTCATGTTAGGATTTCAAACATATAATTGCAAGATGTTTTCTTGTTGTTTGTTTGTTTTTCTTCTATCATTTGGGAATGTAGATTGGGGCTGAGCTGTATCAAAAGGCAGAATAGGTACAGACTTGCTTTGTAGAGCTGCAGGATGGCATGAGGGCAGGCAGCAGTGGCAGGTTTCCAGCTGCCCTGCCGTTCTGAATGATCCCTCCCAGCACTCTCTCTTTTGCTAACTCTGTGCCTCTCTCAGGCAGCAGTAATTATGACGCTGTCACTCACATTGTGGGAGAATGAGGATAAAAAAACTAGAAGACTTCATGCCTTCCCAATACATTGTTGTGCTTCTAAACTGGGGCTTCCTCAACACTGAATGTATTCAATCCCATAACTCTCAAATCTATACCAAGATTAATGAACACAGATGCCTTATGCCTCATGGCCCAAATCAAGTCTTACTCACACTGCACCACTGTTAGCACCACTGCTCTTTAGTCTTTTACCTTTTTAGTATGAAAATCAAATGCTAAATCAAAGGTTTAAATGTAAAGAGTTTCTTTCAGTTCAAAAAGCACAATAAAAACAAACAACTCAGTATAACTTGGAAGACCCACTATCAGCTATTGGAAGTACCAGGGCTTTCCTCCCTGTAGAAAAGACAAAGATTAAGACTGAAGTTCAGAACAGTGTGCTGAAGGTCATAATTTTAAATGTGCAATCAGCCTAATGACACAAAAAAAGCAAACCCTGCACCTTACATTCCTATATCTGGACATGCATTCCAACTCTGGGAAAGATCAACATGTGAAAAGATATTAGAGATGGTGTTATGAGAATTTTGCCAGTGCATCAGTACATAAGCAACCTGTGCATGCTTTTAATTATCGTTGAGATAAAGTCCTAAAGATCACAAAGTGAAAAATTGCACAAAGCAGCTTGAAAACACGAGGCACCATGTTTTCACACATCTCTCTGCTGATTGAAATTTTAAAAAGCTTGCTGGCCCCTGAGTATCTACCAAGGAACAACAAAAACAAAACAAAACAAAACAAAAAACTATAAATTAAATGAAATATAGGAGCCAAATAACTCACAATTTGGCAGTAAAGCTTCAACAACCTCAATAAAGATGACATTGAAGGTCTAGCTATAATTGAGAAGATAGATTGGTCAACCTGGTCACATTTACATTTCATCCTTCAAAAGATGACCAGACAAAATATATGGAAATGACACTATTTCAATGAGCCAGACATAAGAGCTGTAGAAGACAGTCTATGGGATACAAACAAACCTCTGTGCTCCTGCAAGAGTATATAAGATCAATGGGATAGAATAAACCATAAGGCTGTCAATCTGGCCAGAGACTGTGCTTGATTTTAGTGTAACACATAGGTGTGGCAGTTATGCACAAGGAGGAAACATTTTGACACTGAATAGTATGAACTGCAGACAGAATAAACATATAATTATTCTGATCAGATGTGGGAATACCAGAAAAGTCATGATTTTCACCTTTGGGAGCACTGTTTTAGGGATACCTACCATTTGGGAAAGGAGATAGACTGACCTCAAGGAGCTGGTGTTTAGTTACACAGTAAATACAGCTGGATGATGTAAAATAAGCCACTATTTTCCCAAGGCTGCCCCACTCATGGCCTTCAGGCCAGGTATGTGCTGACCAGTAACTGTGATGGAACAGCATGAAATTTCTCTTGCTGTGGATCCAACACTTGTTCGCTCCTAAACCAAAAATGAAGACAGTTTCCAATTAAAGCCAATAATCTCAGTTTTGGTGGTACAGGTAGAGCCACTGGAAATTCTCCCTTTGTTTTGGTAGGTGGGTAATCTTGAATTTGTGCTGTTATAACTACCAGCAGAATCTGGGAATTAGTAGACATTTGCGTTGTCAGAATAATTAAGAAAGAAATACTTATATTGTGTCTGATGTCAAATAATTATCAAAAAATCTCCTATAGCAAATAGTACTTCATAGTGCTATATATTCTGGCCATCTCACAATGAACTCGTTAAAGAGCTGACACTTCAGCTGTCAATAGTGCCCTGTTGTGTTTTCTATCGTGAGGAGAATACAGTCTTCCCACTTAAGAGGCAGGGTTAAAACGCTTATGATGCACACTCCCATTCAGTGACCTGCCATTGCTCTTATAATGAACAATGTATATACATTTTCATCTGTATTTGCCCATTTCCAGCTTTTCATAGTGTACCTACATCTGAGGGAATTTCATGCTTCTTATATTTGGGACCCACTGCTCAGTAGGAGTCTCTCCTCTGGGGAAAGTGAGAAATAGGATAACCAATACAGAGAAAGAATAAACTCATGTCCAGAAAACACAACATCTTCAGCTCCCTGCCTGCTCTCTGAAAGCCATCATTGGGAAACTACAATGGGCTAAAGACAGTCTACTAAATAATTTACAACATACAGCCTAAATGATTTTTCCCTGTTAGATGTGCATTAACACATGGAAGCCTAACATATGGAAAATTTTATCTGGCCTCAGAACGAAAAAAAATTGACCCCTTCCATTCCATTACCTCAAGTCAGACCAGAGTTTAGATGACTCTGAGATGATTCTACTGTTTTCTGAAGAGGCTGTTCTATGGCTTAGTCTAATTCTGCTTAATCACAGCTTGGCTTTGAAACATAACCTTGGAACAATGATTATACCAATATAGGCTTTATCTATTACTTTCATTGCTTGCATCTTAGAATTCTATTCCTCATAAATCTGGCTTTGTTAAACATGACATTATAAAATGTTACTTCATTTCTAGTCACAAAACTTTGAAAAATCAGGGAAAAGCCTTCATCTAAGACTGCACTCTATATTAAAGTACCATGCTTTGCTTTTACACAAAGATCACAATTCCCCCAGATTTCAATAGATTCCTATGGACCATGCAAAATGCCACAGACCACAGAAGCTATGGTTTCGAATGGATGCTTTTATTGATTAATCAGGCATTGAATCAAGTATTGTAAAGTGAACAGATGTTGTTTGTTAAAAATTGTCCAGATGAATACCATTCATAGTGAACTTGTTTCCTCATAGTCCATACAGAATATGAAATAATTCAAGAAACAAGCAAAAAAGGAGCACCTGACTAGATATTGTCATGCTGTGTGTGCATGTATGTATGTATATACACACGTTACACTATATTTGGACATATACTAGTGTGTGTATACCCATACATATATATACACAAACATATAAACACATAATGTACTGACTGAATTAATACTGTACTGAAGCAATGTGATTTAGCTCCAAATGAAGTATTCTGTATTGAAATATAAATGATACAGCAAGGCCTGTAGATTACAGACCATTTGTTTTTCCTTTCACCAAAACAATGATCTGTCTTTGAACTCACAATTTAATTTTAAGATGAAAATATGTGAGATCACCGGGGATCTTTCCAAATTCATGGTATTAATTCCTGCTCAATCTCTGCTAACATTGTATGGCCAAACACTGAACAGTATTTTCAGTTTGTCCACTACTGAAATCAGCTTCTAGAGTTAATATTTCTGGCAAAAAAGGAGGTACACAGCTTTGCTACTTTTACAGCGGCAATATACCCTTTCCTGTTGGATGGAAACTTGGCAAAAATCCTACTTTAAGACTTCCTTCCTTCTGTACATTTTTATCACTACTTCTTATCAGTCATCACCTGTCAGCTCATTATAATAATTTTCATGCCATCTCAGCTACCTTCCAAACATCCCAGGACAGATTATCTGGGCAATGTACACCAGGTAGTAGAGGTAGCAATGTATTCAGATACAAAACACGATGTTTGGGGATTAATTTACTTTTTCATTTTTAAGCATATCCATTTATTTATTACTAAAGACACAAAGATAAACACTGTAGTACGCTGTATGTACATATTTTCTGGTATTTATGTCAATTCTGCACCAATCTTACCTGTGAACCATGAGATACTACTGCATCAGAAAGCCATGGTACCAGCACTGTACTGTCACTCTTTTCTCCATTTAATTCACCAGTTAGCAGAGCACGTAAAGTGAAATGAAAGGAATATGGACAGACATTTATTTTTTGTTAGAAAAGGGAAAAATAAACCCTGTAGACATGTATGTATTCATCACCTTGTTCATAAGTTTTCTATATCGTCATAAGGCAAACTGTAGTGCAGCTTTGTACCTGCAGAATCAGTATTTAAAAAAAATCTGAAGCTGAGCTTGGGACCATTTTATTCTGGACCCATTAGTGAACAAAGTGCATTAAGGCATCCATTTCAAAGGACACCTAAAGCATGGTAATAACAGAGAAAATCTTTTTTAAAAGCTGGTATTCAACTTTCTACACAGGCAGATTTTCACCATTTGCATAGTAACAACAAAACACCATGAGAAAACCATTCTTTTAAATTTGTCATATGCCTCAAGCATCTTCCAAAATGATCATTTTATATAAGTATTGTAGTAGTTACAAAGGATTTCTACTCTGTAGAAAGGAAAGAGAAAAAAAATGCACCTGATTCAGCTTTGAGATTAAATAGGTACAACCTCTGTTGACTTCATTCAGGTTCATCCACTAACACCAAGATGAATGTAGGGCCTGCCTGTGCAGATTCCTACTGCTGCTGAAAATTTGTTATTTACTCCTCATTCACAAAGAGAACTGTGCTTCCCCAAACAACCCAAGACAATGATAATTATGAGCAAACTCCAGCTGTAGTGTTTCTCCACACAGCACATGCAAAACGGATTTCCTTGCTTTGTTATAGATACTACACAGTGTACAACAATGAAACATTTGTATTTAATTTAAAATCAATGGTAAAGTGGCTCATGTCTCACTTCTGAGTTATTGGCTGGGCTTGCTGTATTGAACTTCGTAAAATTAGTAATAAGCATTCACATGTCTACCATCAGAACCATGACATCTTCCATTACAATCAAACCTTAAATGATGCAGTGCTTTATCAAACTAGTCTACAGTCAGACCTTGGATTGGCTGCTCTCCTCCAGTGTTGCTGATTTTCAGAGATGGTATCAGTCTTTCACATCCTCAGTGATTCTACAATGTTTCCCAAACATGAAAGTGAAACATTGGCAGACGGGAATGTTGCCATCAATAAAATAAATCACCAGATGATTTATACACTCACATTTCTAGGAGATACTCCACATGTGTTTTATGAACAGAGAACATAATGCACCATGAACAGAAGTAAATTAAACTTTCTTCTTTTGCTGTGTTGTCTAGCTCCACTTCCTTGCTTGTTTATTTTCATTCTATTTGGTCTGCACATTCCCATGTGGAAAGTAGAAATTAAGAGATCTTGTATTCAGTAAGATCGGTAATGAGAGCACTAATATTGGTATGAATAAAACCAGCAGTATACTGACTTGTCCACTGCACAGTTTCCATCCTTCCAATTTCCTGCTTTTATCCACTGTAAAATAAAACAATGTAAAGGGGCTGATGAAACTTTAATGAATAGGACCATCAATGTGCAAAGCAAATAAGTCATTTTCCAGGTATCCAAAACAGGCTTTCCCTTTTCTCTCTCTCTCACTTTCTTTCTTTTTCTTTCTTTTTTTTTTTTTTTTTTTTCCTTTTTTTCTTTTTATAAATAATTTATAAATCTTCCTGTAAGATACTAAATACAAATCAAAACAAAAGCAACTGCAAAAAGAGTTCTAAGGTATTATTAAAGCCACTTCTTGTCCTGCACAAAGTACTCAGAAAAGAGAGTTTCTTCCCTTTTCACTTCTGTCCAGGCTCGACAGCAACAACTGGGATGCCAGGCAGTCTGCCAGCTCTGGCAAGCTCCTGCAGGCACCTGCCCTCAGGAAATGCGTCCTCCTACCTTTTGGCTTTTAGCAGTCATGCCAGCTGCTCAGAGGAGTCTAAGTGGTCAGGGATAGGCAAGCCAGTTATAATGGTCAAACACTTATTCCACACAGTGAATGTGGGGCACACGGGCTGCCCAAATGTAATGTCAAAGGTGTAAAGGTGCAGGGAGTTCAAGGCATCATAAAAGGCAAGGGAACCGTTGTCGTAGTCCAGCAAAATGCCAACACGGCGGAGGTGAGGTGCGGGCTCTATTGGGATTTCCTTGCTGTTGTGTCGCACCACCCACGTGTTGTTACAGCGGCAGAGCACCCAGGAGGCAGAGTTCTTCCCAATCCACTCGTGCTTTGGGGCTGACTTGTATGAAATACCAATGGCATACCTGCAAAACAAAAACTACTCAGGAAAGCAAGTGCCTCCTGCCCTGCTCATAGGCTGCTGTGTCAGCCAGAGAACTCACTGGAACTCCCCAGTCTCTTGATTGTGCTGATTAAGTTCTAAATAAGTGAAATTGCACCATAATATTGGCATGGGTTTAATTAATGTTTTTCCTATGTCTCTCTTACTTCTGAGATGTCAGGGAAACTCAGTTGTCCCTCACTTTATTTGTAGTTTGGCTGCTATGGTAATTTTTTGGAGCACATGCCTCTGGTATTCTAAAGGAAAATTATTAAGTACTCAGCAACTTAGGGTTTAAATTACTGGGTCTTGCATTTCCACTTCTAAACAGATGAGTACAGAAGAATTCACTGATTTTAAAATACATTGCTATCTGTCACCTAATCTGATCTCTCATTTCTCCTTTAATATATGGCCCAGAAGGACAAATGTAAGAGCAGACGTCAAAGGACACATTAAAAACAAACAAACAAACAAAAACATTTTTGCCATTCCCAAATGTGTTTTGCCAGATGTTGGTGTGAGCATTTTTTAGACTGGGTATTGCACCAAGTGAAGCATTTACAGGTGAAGACTCTGCAAACTGTAATTCATGGCAAAATGTCCAGGGTAAAAGGATTGTGAAAATGTTCTCATTAATGGACACCCAGGGCAAATGCCTGTTTTCTCATATAATAAAGAAATGTAAAAGTTCCTCACATTCTAGAGACACTGCAGTATTTGTTGGGCTTTCAACCACCAGAGATTAATGTGCCATAAATTAATCTATTTTCATTTCTTGAAGTTGGCAAACAACATTTTTCTTGTTTGAGACAGTGGGCATACCTGAACAGCTTACTGAATTTTTACTTTTTTAACTTCCATCATGATTGCTGCCTTTGAATCTTAAAGGATAACATATTTTCTACTGACCAAAGGGACCCTGAAACCCAGCCCTTTATGGCTGAGAGGATCATTCAGGAATAGAATAACGTGCTCTTCCATTTCCTGCCCCAGGATGTGAAGCCTGAGGCATAGAGCTGGCACTGCTGCTCCCCACTGGTTCCCCAGAGCTGTATCTGACTTCCACCCCTGTGAATCTGGGTCATCAAATTGTCCTCATACTCTGTATATTTTTTTTTTCTGTTTTGCTATGTTTTCCAAAAGAATGACAGCAAGATCTTTCATATCTAGTAAAGAAATGATCACACTTCAAATGTTTGCTCTGTTATAGAAATAAGATGAAACCTTCTTAGCTTTCCAGCTCACTAAAATCTTGAAATGTGTTTTCTGTAGATTCAAAAAACAATCAACCACAATCATAGAGGAAAAGTTCTGCATGGGTTTCTAAATATAAAGATGCTCTGTCTGGCAGAATAAGTTCCAGAATCTGAAAGTGCTGGAAATTGGGAAAATAGTCTGACAAATTGTGTAAAAGAATATGCTAGATCTGCTCTTGTACCATTCCCCACGCATCTGTTACTGTTCTCTGTCAGAGGAACTGTGCTGGGACCTGCATGGACCTTTGGTGTGAACCAATGATTATTCTCATATATCATCTTACATACATACCATGTACTCCCACTAATAACCACTTCCCAGTAATGCCGTCCACTGTCAATGAACACATTGCCAGCTACTCCGTAGCTCCCTTGGCTTGTGAATCGCTCTGGTGTATGACTCTTTTTGGAGGAGGTTTCATCACGTTCCACTGTCAAGTTATCATGAGACACTTTCAATTTTCTGTGAGCAGATTTGGGGTCCAGTTTAAATGGCTGACCTATATAAGCAGAGACAAAGATACCGGAAGAACCGTTTGTCTTTAATTTTAAAAAGAAGAGTGAATAGAAAGCATAATAAAGAAGCATACAAGATTACATAATCGTATTAATCTCCTTCTCTGAAGTGTTTTCAAGATAGACTAAGTGATTCTGCTCCCTGTGCTAGCTGGCTTGCATTGTCAGTTTACTGTCAGTCTCATTGTGCACTAACTTCCCTGTGTTGATAATCCCTGCAAAGAGCCCTGAGTAATCTTCATGCCCATTATCCCTGACCTAAAGGTAACCTGAACACTCTAATTCTTGCATGTAATTGAAACCAATGTACATGCTAATAAAGGTCTGAGGGTTGCTTTTTTCACAGCATATTAGATTTAGATTGTTACATTCTATTAATTCACTAGGGATAAATCTCCATAATAACGTCTTCATCATAGCTACAAAAAAATATGATTCCAAATCCCACAAAATGAGTTTGAAAATAAGAAAAAGCACTAGCCTTGTCTGTTCGTTCACTCACAGCTTTATTTATAACAAGCACAGTCAACAATTCGAGACCTTTTTGGAAGGACGCCCATGGGGTTCTATGGTGCTGGATATTGTGCATTAAAAAGAAGGAAGTGAACTATAACTTGGACCAAATAATACGGTGTAAAAACATTACTGAGGCTGTTGCTTTTGGCAAGTATCTTCAGCTGTAGCACAAGGTTTGTAGACAATAACAGGAAGCTTTTTGGTAAACTGAACCCTGTAGATATCTAAAGCCTGCCACAATTCTGACAAGCTTTCACCTTGTGTCAAAAAAGCAGAATGATCATTTACCTCCACCAGGAGACAACTAGGAAACTATGATTCTATGTGTGATCCAGCAAAGCCCTTTTCCCTTAATGTCTTTCATGTCAAGGAAAAAAAAAAAAAAAAAGTAAGTGGAAGATTTGATCGCATACATAGAAAATAGAAATGAACACTCCCATGAGGTCTGTGACCCTCTGGCACTGACAAGTGTACTTCAAATAAGATGTAAATTGCTCAGAGTTTATGAAGGAACAGTAAAGTACTTCTCATGCAGTACAGCTGAAAGCATTAGTGTGGGGAAAAGAAGAAATTAAATTCATCTGAGCAAGGACAGTCATTGGTTCATATCTCTAAGAAACCTGAAAAGCAGAAATTAAAAATGGAAGATGACAGATGCAATGCTAATTCTCAGTTAACATTATTAGAGATGGGTCGGTATTAAGACAAGGAGTACTTTTAGTGTTAAAGTTATAATCTGCTTTTATAATGTGTATTTAGTTATATATTATGATGAAGCAGAAGATAAACACATTGGAAGCTATTTGGGAATGTTTTTTGACAATTTTTTTTTACTGCTGAGTAGCAGAAATATATCTGCAGCCTGCCTCTTTAACTGGTTAGTAGCCTTTGTGTTGTTGAAGCAGTACCTGAAAGATATCTTTCTCTGTGGAGTCATATTTGCTTACATTATTTCTCAATCACCTGAGAGATTGCTTTTGCACCACACTGGGTCACAAAAAGACAAAAGGATGAAGGGATGCCATTTCCAAGTGGATCTTCTGGTACTGCGTTTCCTTGTAGGTTATCAGATTCTTGGTAGCAGATGTATGGTTTATATGAGTAGCTTTTACACAGGAGTACAGAAGAAGCCCCTGAGCTGGTATGTGCCATTCCCTGTGGCCCCTTTCTTGCAACACTCAGTGTCACCCCTCTTTGAACACCTTCCCCCTCAAAAAGCAGATTTCAGAGAGTGCACAAATCCTAGTGTTCCCTTTCCAGTGCTCAAAGTTTTTCATGATGACTACAGGACTGAGGGATTGGCTGGGACACAAGAAAAAGATTGAAAACCCATCTTAAAATTGCTATACTACATCTGCTAATAATTTGTGTAACTATTATTTATTTTGTTTTTTGAAGTGGGATCTCTGACTAATCTACTACCTTGCTGAACTCCATAAAAACTGAGAGGGATGGAGCTAAGGAAGTTTTCTAGTGTCCTAAGAAAGAGCTAATCTTGGAGAACAAAATTAAACTAGCATCTTTTGAACACTATACAAAAATAAAATGTTTTATTGCAAACACAAAATGTTTTTACTTTGTAGAGGAAAAAGAATAGGAAAAGAGGAAAAGAGGACATTAAACAAAACCACAACAGACCATTTTCAAGCATTTCATATGTGATGGCTTGGTTCCTAAATGATATTTCCGGTGACCAAAGTACAGATGCTTTTTATGATAAAAAGTAATTTCTGCACTACTGAAGACACCAGTAATCTTAAATTGAGTTAAAAAAGTGACTTTCACTGTGAGAAGCACTTTAAACAGGTTAATCTGCTCTGCAGTCTTGTGTCTTTCAAAAACCAAACCTAAAAAGGAAGACAAGAAAGAAGAAGAGTGTGTGCATGCTGGATTTCACTTTACTCACTGTTTGTCTTGAGCTTGCCGGGCTCACTGTTTCTGCTGCCAGCCTGATTAATGGCCTTAACAATGAAGATGTACTTAGTGCCACTCTGCAACCCATGCACGGTGTAGTGGTTTTGTTTGATATTGGGAACAATCATCCAGCTGTCGGCTGAGTTACATAAACCTGCAATTTCAAACCAAGCACATTAGTCATAACATACTAAACACTTTGTAACAGGGAAACATTTAGAGTATGCCTGAGCACCCAACCACCGATAAGAAATATGCTTCTATACCTTTTAAAGTGCTGTTACATTCACTAAGTTGCCACTTAATTACACTAACTCATTTCACCAGCCCTCAACCAGGGTACCTTTTAACTTCTTGCTATATGAAGTCAACCATAAAAAATGGACGTGTAAGAAATGACTCAGTGGAGGCATGAGCAATCTGGGAATTTTCATATCCCAACACAAGGAATTCTTCATTGCTTAAGGGCCAGAGGATTACGGAGATGCCATCAATCTACTTTTTAGATTAATGAACTCAGTGTAAGCCTCTAAAAAGTAACATAAGCAGTAATGCTCAGGGTTTTATGGAGCCACCTTTGCTGACAGTCATTGGGTAGGTTTTCTTCAGGACCTGAAGCAAATTGTGGGAGGCCAAACAGGGTGAAGTGTGCGTTCCACGGCAAGCTTCAGCTTCTACATTCCCAAATTTGTCAGGATGTAAATTAAACACTAAGTTTAATAGACGTAACTTTTTGATTTATGGCCTCATGGTTAGATGTCAGGTGGGGAAGAGCTACATAATTTTCTAGTTACAAACTTTTTTGTGGTACATTTGATGACCACCACAGAAGTATAACATGTAGGAAATAAGTATAATAGGGTAGAAGCAATATAATCTGCAAAATATGAGCATAATCCATTAAAATGAATTCATTCTATTGCATAAATCTTACTGTGAAATAACTGCAATATCAGTGAATCACCCATAGTACTCACTGTACATTCTTAACAGCTCCCAGTCTAATGGATCCTCAGTCTGATAACTCTTTTGTTATAAGTGTTTATATAAATAATGAAGTTTTCATTTGCAATATATATATATGTTCACAACATTTTATAGTTATACAGCTAGGAAAAGGTATACACATATGAAAGTATAAGCATGCACATGTGCATAAGGCTGGAAAAAATAAATGCAAAATTCTTGACTGGGTGGAAACTTACAGACTTCTTGATCTTACAGATCTCTTGATTGGACTAGATGATCTTTCAGGGTCCCATCCAATCCCTAAAATTCTCTGATTCTGTGATTTTTTTCCTTGACTGGGCATAGAAAAAGTTACCAATGCTAATGTGCTGTTAAGCTAGCTTTCAGCTTCTAAGTCATGTTTTACCAGAAAACCAGTAAGTACTAGTGAAGAGAATCTTTTAGAAGCCAGTAGTACTTTTAGCTTAAATATTAACCAATATAAAACCCTTACTTAAAGAAAAAAAAAAAAAGTTACTAGGTTACACAAAACTTTAAATAAAATGACCTGTGAAACAGGTTTATAGACTCATAGCCATTATAGATTCATAGCCATAACAGAAGTCTCCTTCTTAATTTAGGATGTACTTTCATAATAAAAGAGCATTAGGAATAGAATTTAAAATTCAAACTTCAATCTAAAAATTATGCAGTGTTTGTCTCAGTTTTCTCTCATATTACATAGCATCCTTGAGAGGTAGGGAGTAGGAAGAAAGGAAATAAAAGTAGCAGCATCCTGGCATAAAATATTTCAAAAATGACTTTTCCCAGTAAAAATTCAGCACAAGTATTACAGGTACATTCTATCTGTAGATGAACTGCTGCTTTGATTTTACATCGAGATCATTTACCTAGTTCGGTGATGCTATTGCACAATAAATGTTAAGCTAAAATAAATTAAAATAAAGCACTGGATTCAGGAGATCAGGATGACTAAGGAATCCCTTACTCAGCTGCCTCTGATGGGTTATCAAATAACATCTGTAAGTCTGTAAATGGGATGAATCTGGGCAGTAGTTCTGGAAGTGCCTGCTTCTTCCATGTCCACACACTTTGAAAGCTGTGGTCGATGGTATACATAGACCATATATAAAAAACCCCCTCATGCAGACAAAGTGCCCGGGTTTCTGCTAAATCATCTAGCAAATAGAGTTGTATCAATCAGTACAACTCTCTAAAGGGCACATTTTTCAGTCTTATATTACTCTTTTGCTGTTACCCTCCAGAGGCTAGTCAGTCCTTAACAAAGTACAAAACTTTTATTTATATAGGTATATGAAGGACTGTAAAAGTACAGATGTGTTGCTATGAGTCTCTTTGCCACTCTCTCCTGTCCTCCCATAAATGTGGACTCACACATACTCAATACTCAGTACTCTGTAGATTCAATAATTTAAACAGAGAAAATTATTGTTATTATTAAAAGATCAAGTTAATAGTTAATTTGGATTCCTGTGTACAGGAACAATCTCAATCTTTTTAGGTGTTGCTACATCTTGCTGCTAGGGACTACTGTCAAAATGCTCGCAGGCATTCACCCCACCTAGCACTGAAAAAAAAGGAGCTCCTGAGTTAGGACCTTACTAACCTAAACTCTCTGTACAGTCAGAAGAGAGGGATGGGAAGTGTCTGCTTCACCTAATTCATTTTCAAGCAGAAGGCTCTGTCTTCACTGATGATAAAAGATATCTTGGGTTTCTCTCCTTTGTCCTTCCTGTCTTAAGAATCCCAAACTTCTGGTGTTCAATAAATGCAGGATGCACAGTGACTAACTTGGTTACTTTGCTTGATAAACCTTGTTGTTAAGCAAACTCTGCACATGCCTCCACACTGATATGTCCATGTGCTTCCTGACTGTGACCTTGATGTCAAGGTTCAAACTGAAATTTGATTCAAAATTTTGGTAATGAAATTTTGATGATATTGATACTCCAAGTCCCAGATCTTTCAGACTGAAGAACAGTAACTAGTGACAGCCAAGGTAAGCTTTTAGGTATGAAAGAATATTTTGTCACTACATCAAAATATTTGGTCTTTAGTTCTACCCTAGCAGAACAACCTTTGTTCTCAGAATAAAAAATAAGATAACTAACAATGATCAGGGAAATGATCATTCATAGCAGCCTGGTAATGTGGGCATCTGGGGGTAACTTGCCCTCTCAGTTCCCTGCCAGTGGCAGCAGGTTAAAGTGGAAAAGTACATATTTTCTTGCTGCTGCAGCAGCAAAAACTAAAGGTCTGGTATTGTAGCCACTCCTAATCCAGGCTACATTCAGGTTTCTTGTTTCAAAAACTCGGGGCTTTTTACAGGATTGTGCAGGTGGTAAAACAATGTATTTTTAAAGTGTAGACTACAAAAATGTAGGGAATTTAAATTACATCCTGGAATGGTGCAGTGAGCACAGTGATGTCCATACAGGATGTGTGAGTTTTCAAAACAAGTTTCTCAGAATCTGGAGGTAATAATTTGTAAAGCTGTTTCCCTGGTGTTGGCTGTTGATGCACTTTAAAGAACAGATGGGAAAAATCCCAAGGTGTAAATCCTCCTAAAATTTACACTGGTAGATTTTAATAAAATATATCTTCTTGAAAAGCAGAAGCACAAAAGTCATAGGAAGGTTATTTAACTGCTTGAGTATTTTAATTATTTTTAAATGCTTTATTTAAATAATTATCAATTCAAATTGGTAGAATAAATACAGTAGGTGAAGGCAACAGATGACTTTCTACACCCCCTGGCATTCCCATGTGAAGGAAAAAAATATATGCTGGACTTCTGCAAAACCCATAGTTTTTTTAAAACAAAACAAAACAAAAAAACACTCTTTTAATACTTTTTAATAGGCAGTTCTCTTCCTTTTATCCAAAAATTGTTTTTGCGTCATTAAAAGATACTTGCTGAAAACCTTAGTATCATTCTGAAAATTGTAAGGAATATGATTTTTAATAAATTAAAGCTTCTAGAAAGAAACAAAAGATAGACTATTCAAAAATTCATTGGTGATCATCAGAAGCATGAACTCCTAATTGTCTTAGGACAATTATGCCTACAAAATTTTATCCTAACTCATAAGAAAAGTAATCACAAAACACAGGGAAAGTTCTGACAATACAGTCTATCCTTAACACAGTTAATTTTACTATTTTGCCAACGTAACTAACATAAATTCCATTTAATGGGAAAGAGAATTGTTTACTCCTTTGTGTCTTGAAGAGAGTCTCATGTGTTTTCCATGAAGACATCTTGTGTTGCAGCTAGTAAAAAGCTGTGTTTAAATTTTAACCTTCCTGAAACCCACTAAAGAAATTCCATGAAAAAAAAAATCAAACAAAAAATACTTCAACATTTATTGGTATGAGATAATGAAATTAGATTGCTAGATAGCTAGTGACAAATTTGAAAGCCTTTACAACATTCAGATTGCAGATGATTAGCTGCCTCTCAGAAATGCAAATGCATGAATAGTATAGCTCTGGGAACAACTTCTTTAGTAAAAGTCTGTTTAATTTAAAGTACTGTATTTCTCTTACACACAGAACAGTGTTGCCAAGCATTTAATAGCCAAGCAGTTTGGCCACATTTGGAAATAATCTTTCCTGTATGAAATAGGATTCAAAATGAAATACTCTAGTTGGAATTTTTCCATCAAATGTTAACTTCCCAATTTTTCAGTTAATAAAAAAGAATATAGATGATTATGTTGGATAGAAAATACAGTAGAAAAACTTAGCATTACTTGTTTTTATAACTGAATTCTTAGCAATCTCTGAATGATATATGTCTCTGGTGGAGGAAACGTTCTGAAGAGTGGAAAGTTCAGTCTGACTACGTGGTTTTAAGAAATAGATTCCGTAATAACAACCTCCATTAGCATGGTACTAGGGTTTGTATGCAAAGTGATTCCTATTGCCTTAAGGGAAAAAAAAGCTTGTTGTTTTTTTAGCTACTTCCTCACAACTAATCCATAGCTGCAGTAACACAGACCTGAAGATGATCTATGAACCTATTTACTTTACCTGCTACAGGTAACACACAATAGCAATGGAAACTTTTGGGGATATGACAGAGCAATTGAAAAAATATATATGCAATGGCATGTAAATGACATAAATAGAAATAAATTTGTGCTAATCTAAATTATATTCCATTAAAACAGGATTAAAACAAACAACAACAACAACAAACAACAGCAAAAAACACCACAGCTACAGTTCATCAAAACATCAAGGCTGCAGTACAGATTCTAACTCCTCTTCCAGTGAAAAGAGCTCTCTGTGTTATTCCACACTGCTATAGTAAACTCCAATATTCTAGGGATGATCTTGGAAAATAATCTATAAAAGTAAGGACTCTCGTACCTGACAGAGGATATAATACATCAAAGTGAATAAATATCCACTCATGAGTAAAATCATTATGTCAGTGGGCAAAGCTCCATTACCATTGGAAGCTGGAATGAACTGGGAGAGTCCTATATATCAGAAATTTGGGTAGACCTGTAGTAGCTCTGTTGGATTTGGAAGGGTAGAACTCTTCCATTGGAGGTATAAAACTCCTCATTAAATAATGAGATAAAAAAGCCTGACAATATTTAGAAAAACCTTCCTTTTATACTATACTTTCATAAATATGTGTTTGTTTTGGATTAAATTATAACTTTCAATGAAATTGAAAGTAATAGCCAGGATATTTCTGTAAGAGCTAGCTGCAGTTAAACAAACAAACAAATAAATATTTGGGCCAATTTTTCCATTTCTTTCTTCTTCCTTTTCAGATCTTAATAAGATTTTATAAACAAAGTTTCTTACTGTGTTCATTTATTTTCTCTTCAAACTTTTAATGGCACCATTTTTTTGCAAAGTGATAGAATGAAAGTTCAGATCACACACTAAATACTTCATGGCATACCCCCAAATTATCATATTCCATCTCTGAAAGAAAACTAATTGATTGTTTTGCAGATCAAAGCTTTCACTTCCACATGGGAAAACAGTCTCAAAACGAAATGCCTTGTTATTTATTCACTAGTAAGCAAAAAGTAAAATCCCATATCATAAAAGTGTGGAAATGGCAAACTTTACTGTTGCCATATTCATAGGTAGTAGCAACAACTGACTTTTATAGTCTTCTACCATAAAGTCAGAGACAAAAATGGATCAGAAAATGAGCAATACACTGCATTAAGTTATTGAGTCCTGTCTGCTTAATAGTGGAAACCGGGGAAACTTTTCTTTCCTTATCTACCTGGCTCCAATTTGTTCCAAATTACTATTAAACTTTTGGTATCTAACTTGCTCAGATGTAGGAGCATGTATTGAATTTATTTTTTTTCCTTTTTTTTTTTCTTTTTTTAAATTTTCCTCCAGTATTCTAGAATTTTATCATGTATTGCCCAAAATTAGGCTATTTAGCGAGATACTAAACGGAGGTTTCAACAAAGCGTTAATTAAATTTTCAAAGGTCCACTTTATTTTTTGGTCAATCCTGAATACCATAATATATTCATAATATTCTACATTGAAATGGTGCTAAAATACTTGCACATGAATCCTCAGATATCCTTTCAGATGGCTTGGAAAACTAACTCTACTTTAGTGATGGAGAAAATTAGGTGCTCACAGCAGCAGTGGAGTCAGCACAAGTTTGTCTTAGTCCTGAGACTTGGCAGAGACCATACAATTTTTCCACTGATATAAAGTATGTAAACATATCTATAGCACTGACTTTCATTAAAAAAATCTCAAAACAAATTTTGTAAGAACAAAATCACTTCCACATTGGGGTGGAAGCCTATTTAGGGCTAAGTCTATCTAGTTCAGTGTGTGGCTAGGGTTTTTGATAGCGGACAAAAGCAAGTGCCCAGGAAGATGTTAACTGACAGGGAAAGCACACAGTGATCATTTCTCACTGTGTTCTCCCAGGCTCCAGTACCATACAGCTCTGGGACTTCCTGAGCCAGGAGGAAGTATCTGCACTTCATTGTTTTCATTGGATTTTTCTAGCATAATCTCTCCAGTCATCTCTTCAACTTAAATTTTTAATCAACAACCCTTTGTGACAATGAGTTTCACAATTTAAATATGTATTGACTGAACAAACCCCGTTTTTTGACTGATTTGGTTCATTTCAGTCTCCTGCAGTTTCATAAAGCCACTATACATCAGATAGTAGCATTCCTATTAATCATATAGGAATCAGGACGAAGTTAAATGACTTATCCAAAAGCACACTAAGTCAATCATAGCACTATCCACTGAACCCAGAAGTGCTGACTGCCTAGCCAAAGATTAGGCAATTCTGGAGCATTTTCTCAGAAATCTAGCTATGTAACAACAAAACAATCCAAGGAATAATATGTAAATTTGTTCATTCAAGAAATTCACAAAGTCAAAACAGTGCATGCATTTAATAAAAATGTGTAATAATAGAAAATATGAAACAATGGTAGCTAATCTCATTGCAAATCAAACAATGTTACCATACTGATCATTGTTGCACTGATGTTTGCTGCCCTAGTCTGCGGTATACAAAGTGAGACCTCTCTTCTGTGTCCTTGCAGACAGTACAAATCAGAGAGAATACTTAATGTGTATTTTTGACAAAGGCCCAGTTGTCAAGTAGCATGTCATAAATAACAAGGAGGCTGCAGTACTAGTTAACAGGTAGTTCAACAGAGGGTCCCAAGTGTCTGACTATCCTGGACAATGGAAGTGAAGTTTTCATCCCTCAGGCTACATCTGCAGAAGGGCTCTATGATGCAAGAGACAATTCCTGTAAATATGGACTAACACGTGTGCCACTGGGAACATGTGCTGGCTATTGTTTTGGATTTAAAATATTGACTTTAAATCTTCCTAGAAAACATGTTTTTCTTTTGTTCCTGATATATGAGTACCTTTATATTTGAAAGAACTTAATTTGCAGTGAAACCATAAGGAAACAGAACTAGAAATGAGAAGATTTTTACTTACTAACAACATTAGCTTGTCCAGTGAAGATGGTGTACTGCAGCTCATAAGAGACCACGCTGAATTCATCATCCGATGTCCAGTGGACAGTAATAGTATCATAAGAAGCTGTACAGAGCTCTTCTCGAATGGTGGGAGGGTTGGGAGCTGTCACATACAACAGAGGAGGCTTACCAACACAGTCAAATATTTCCCATCTTACCTGAGATTTGGGCATGCATGTGGCATATGAGCTTGCAGCCCTACTGTCCAACAGACTTTACAACGTAGCTTTTACTAATTAGACTTAGATTGCTATTAAATTGTTCCTAAGGAATTCTTACTATTAATATAACTACCTAAGAGATCCAGATTTTGAAAATGTTTTGTATTAAAGAAACTTTAGCTTCAGACAGCCTAGCAAAAGTTACGTGTTGGTGGTCATGGTAAACTGTGACTGAGTGGGTACAATTTATATGCTAGTTTGCTAGGTTTGTTTCCTATCATCACATTAAAATTATCAAAATTTCATGGATCCATATCAATAGGGAAAGTCAATACTCCTCACTATTGACTTGAAAGCAGTGTTTGCCTAGCTTATTTTAACAGAGATTAGCATAAGTGGTATCTAAGAAATATAACTCTAAACATTCTTTCTTTCATGCTCAATCTTCTCTCTCCAAGTTCATTTAAATTTATTCTTAACTATCATTTTTAATATAGATGCATATAATTTCTGTTGGCTATACAACTTACTATTTCAGTTTTATGTAAAGAGTTCTTATCATAACATCATGGCGGTAGGACATTTGCAACCTAAAATTCAATATCATAGCTAATTAAATAATTCTAGGAGATGACCCAAACATTTTAATAAAGAATTGTCTTTGTTTTTGTTTTTTTGTTTGTTTCTTTTTTTTTTTCTTCCAAGTCAACAAACAAGATTGCTACAGTTTCTATGTGTGGCAAGCTATGCAGTCTTCTTTTGCATTAATACAAAATTTTGATTTAAAGAACTATCTGAATAAATAAAACTTGAAGCAAACTTCTTAGGTCAAAATTTTCCTTATTTGATTTTTCTATAAATATAAAAAATGAAATAAGAAACAAATGAGTCTTTCTTTGGGCCTTCCTGCTTGCTTGTCTCAGTGGGAGCCTAATTCTTAATCATCTTCCCTATATGCCACCATCATGCAAAAAAAATAATTCTTGTGCTTAATAGCATTCCTCCCAGCTGTCACAGAGTAAGGAAGGAGGGCACTCAAGCTGAAACAATTACAATATGCCTAAGTTAAAGGAAAAGGAAGGCAAATCTGAATGGTATTTTGGCTGTCAGTTCTTTAACTTATGTTAATCACAAATAATGTACTCAAAAAAAAAAAAAAAAAAAAAGGCACTCTGATGGAATTCCACCTTTCCTTTTCCTTTTACAACAGCTATAATTTATACATATAAAACATCTCTTTTACTTTCCACTAAGAATTTTTATAGTTCATATTCCTGGTTTTCTGATGTATGTTCCCAAAGATTAAAATGCAGATGCATTTCCAAGCAGCCTCTTTCAAACAAGGGGCATAAGGAAATGTTCAAATGTGTTTCATGATATGACCATGATTTGTGATGCTCTAAATATTGTAGCACAGAAGCTTACCAGTGACTTTTTTTTTCTTTTTTTTTTTTTTCCTCTAAGCAGAAAAACCATTGGGACAGATGGGTATTAATAAAGAAAGAGAGAGAAATGAACTAAAATAGGAACAGTCATCTCAGGAGGGGTATATAAACAAAAAGAAGAAAAAACAAACAAACAAACAAAAACCTCCTTGAAAGGCAAGTGTGTTAGTATTCAACTAAAGTCTTCTTCAATCTCCTTCTGCACATAACAGAACAAAACCTTTTAGTTGAGAATGTACCTGTTATTACTACAACACAGATAATAAATATTAACTTAATGCAACACAACAATTACTGAGTGTTTAATGAACTGTAGACTGCATTTCAATAGCACCTAAGTCTCTTCAACTCCTTTGAAAATGACAGCCTTGATGTTCTCTTTATATGAACACCTGGCTGGCCTTATAGAAGGCTGGAGATTTACAGGCTTTCACACAATGAGGATGACAGGGAAAAAAAAAAAAAAAAAAGAGAGAGAGAGAGAGAGAAAGATTTGACCTGAACAGGACATCTTTTCCCTGGCTCTTGTTATTAACCCACACATGCCTGAGACTGCATTGCATGAAACTCAGCTCTCCAGCAACACTCATTTCAAAAAACTTTCAGAATAAAACTAAATATACCTGCTTCTCCTGTAGACTGACAGGGAAGTTTGCATGCAAACAGTTAATCTTAAGACTTCTGAAATAATGTAGAAGTCTGACTGCAAAATTTATCACCCTGCAAGACATATTTCTTTGGAGATTATAAGTCCAGAAAGCAATTAAAGAGTTAAACTTTAATCAATTATCTTCACCATCACATTTACTAGTACAGCTAGAGAGCTCATGTGCCACCAGGAAAACTCTACAGAAAGCCCAGAGCAATCTGAAGGTTACACCAGCACCTTCCCTCACAACCTTGACTAGGGCTTTATCGCTGCTTAGGAAAGGGAAGTCCAGCATGCTTCTACAACAGCAGAGGAAGAAGAGTCCTAGTCAGTTCTGCATAGTCTTAATGCTACAAGTTGTACAGCCTCATACTCTGTTCCAGTAGCAGTGATTGTCCCTAAGCACTTCCAGTGCATTTCAGGGTGAGGACATGAGGACACAACCTCATTCAACCTCATTCAACCTCAACCTGATTCACAACCATAACAAGTCTGAAGTTTGACAGCTGGTGCAATTAATATCCTCAGCTATACGCAGCCTCCTGTCTACAAACTGCCACCCAATGTCAGGAAAAAAATTAAAAAAGAAAAAAATAAAAATTGAAGCAGCTCTAGAAACACCCCAAATTTACAGCAGGGAAACCTGAAATCAGTGGCAGCAGACTTTGCAGGGCACAAAAAAAGCTACAGCAGTTTCAGGAATTGCTTTCTAACATCTGCAGCTCTCCTTGGTCATAGAGTGGCAGTCTCCATAAGAATACCAGAGCAAACATCTGTGAGGGGTAACTGCTTCTTTTGCTCTGACTTCAATCCACCTACGTTCACGAATCAACATTCTGACAAATGAAAATCATTGCTTAAGGCAATGATTAAATTCAGTTGTCTGACTTCAACTCAAAACTGAGCAGATACCCTTCAACAGTCAGGAACCATGCCTGAAATAGTCAGGACCCACATCTGAAGTGGCTGAAAGGTAATCACAAATATCCAAAAAGTAGTTATTTAAATTTGATCTAGAAATAACTGACCTTGTGAGCATGCTTACTCCATTTCAGAGCAAAGTCAATCAGGTTTGGTCTAATGCACCTTCAGTTCAATGTCATCTGTGTGGCTTTTGACCTGAAGTAGACTGAAAGACTCACTTGGTCCAAACACCTGAGAGGCAGTTTAGGGAAACTGCCCCTTCTCATTGGTAAGTCCCAGTATGAATGCAGTGGTTCCTGGGCAACTATTTCTAAATCCTTTTAGTGCAAGGTCACAGAGGTTGATCAAAATCACATCAACTTCCTTTTGTTTGCTTGGTGTCCACCTTTCCTGGAATCGGGTGATTGACTTTGTAAGGTTTTCTTACTGATTTTTGATACTAAGGAAAAAACAAATACCTAAGCCATCTCTTTGACTTAATAGTGCTAGAATCATAGAATCATAGAATGGTTTGGATTAGAAGGGACTGTAAAGGTCAACTAGTTCCAACCCCCCCCTGCCATGGGGTTCCACTAAGTCAGGTTGCTCTGATAATAGAAATATTAATATGGCTGAATATGAACATGAGGGAGTTGAGGAAGCTACTCTGAAACTCTCAACAGTTAATAACCGGTTTGCTGTTGTATCACGATACCAGACTGAAACAATATGAAGGAGCTTGAAAGGCAAAATCACATCATATGTGGGTACATACTAAATGTGTTAATAACATGCCATGCACAAGTTGGCATCAAGAACTCAATCATACAACCATGTATATATAGTCTTTGGGTAGAACTCTTCAAGAGCAACTGAATGAGAAGAGATTATATCCAAAGCTAAAGACTGGGCTGGTTCTGGAAAAGCTTTGATCTTTTAATAGTGAAAGCAATTTAGGAAGGGAGACAGGTTGCAAAAGGTTTCCAGAATGAAGTCTTTTTCATGTGAAAAAAATCCTGGCATACATTAGACAATGCGTATTTGTTAGCACAGACATAGCTAGTGATGGATGAAGAAAATGTATCATTATTTCATATGGGATTTCTGAAGCAGGGAAAACTGCAAGTTCAAAGAATAGATGTTGCTTCAATTGATTTCATAGTATTAAAACTTAAGACAAGTATTTTTGATTCACGGTGGATAAAAATGTTCTTATGTCAACGCTATTGTGCAGGGAATTTGCAAATCACAGACATTGTCTGGATCTAGCTAGATACTTGTTCAGGAAAAGATCAGTTCCAGATGAAAAGCTTGAGCAACTGGCAAGATAAGAAAACTTCCAAAAGACATCAAGACTATAGATACCAGAGCAGAAACAGTCAGAGGAAGATTAAGGGTATTGTTTTACTATGCTGAGCTTGATATCTCAATGTCCAGCTGGAAGCTCTCTGAGAGATATTGGAGATTTTAATTTGGATAGCAGAAGCTTTGGACAGACAGCTGTGCAAATGATGAGAGCAAACTATTTACGTTTATATTTGTGAAAGCAATAACTTAGGAGGAAAGAAAGATGCAAGCTTCAATGTGCCACATAGAAAACTGGAGTTGGGAAGGTGGAAGATGAAGATCTGATATATAGTACATTGGGAAAGAGTACCAAAGAAGAAGAAAATTTCAAGAAGAGAGCTGAGGTCACTTGCTTTGAAAGCAACTGACAGCAGAGAGAATGAAGCTGGAATTCAACTTTTGACTTTTTTTTTCTTTTTTTTTTTTTTTCAGAAGCAATACAGATGATAGATATTATATAGGCATCCTCCCTTAATTGGCAACACAGATGTATCACTAGGACTAACAAATGGTCTTTATTTTACTTAACAATAAAACATGATAAAAGTAAAGACCAATTCACTCTGACACACAGTGTTTGGTGTAAAATCTATGAAGATTGCACACTCTGAAAGGCTGAAATAAAACAAATCTTCCTCTAGAGTTTCTGAATAACAATAGAGAAGAATCAAATGTATTTGATTTTCAGGGTAATATATATACTTATACATTACATATATACATATATTTACATAAATATATTTTTACAGTCTGACTTGGTTACATTTTATGCTCAGATATTTTAGACATGTTTTGGACTTTGTCATTGCAGCCATATGTTATTTCTTAATGTGAAAAAAATTATTACAAAGACAGAGCCAGCTAAAACTGTTCTTCATTGGCAATCAAGTGCAAAGATGAAAACAGTAGATTGGGAAAAAACAGCCTAACAGCTTAATACATAGCAATTTCCCCTAGATTGGAATGTGATAATTTTTTCAAAATTGTGGTTGAGGTAGGAAGGCACAGGAGGAGCACAGCCAGCATGATGGACCACAGAAAGGATCTTTGTGGCATTGAACACTATGGCAAGACTACCCTTAATTTTGGTACAGATACATCCTTCCTTTTCCGCATTGCATAGCTGTTAGGCTGGTAATAGTGACATGTGATGTGAGACTAGGGCGTGGAAGAATGGACTGTATATCCTCAGAGATCTAAACCACAATTACCTAAATTTGAATGAGTCTTTCTAGCCCCTGTTTGGAGCCAATGGGGAGGACTAGGCACCTCCAAAACAGAGTCAGCTGACATGGCATACGTGCCTCCACATTAGGTGGATATTCCTCTTTGGCTATAGAAAAGCCACGACTGGTGATTTTTCAAGTTGATTCCTAGCTTGGGACAAATGAGTGTGGCTTTTTGCTAGCCCTTCCTTTTATTTCCTTGTCTTTTATAATTTTGTGGTGAAATTTCAACTTTGATGGCAAAATTCCAGCAAACTCTGGGGAGAATGGGAATGAAGGGAAAGGTGGATAGCATAACACCACTGATAAAAACTAATAAGTGACTCTCACCACAGTTTATTGCGCATTGTTTACTCAGGTATGCATGAAACACTGATTGCATTCACCAGTTACACAGTGAGTAAGAAATTTCTTGCAGAAAAAAATCCCTTATGGCAGGAACCTCACAGATTTACAAGGCAAAGGTACATGCACACAGCCTTGCTACTTCTAAAATTCATTTGATCATTTATACCCCACCATATTCCCCTGAAGAAAAGCTAGAAACCAGGCCTCTGCATGGCAAAAAACACTGTGTTTGACCACAAAGAGACTGCATGCTTTTGCATTCTTCTGAAATTACATGGGTATATTTCCTGCAACCTGGGCTAAGAGAACAGCCCTGCGTTTTGAAGTGTTTTTCTACCAATGCCCTTTCATTGCAAACTCTTGCTGCTCACAGAAGATGCTTAAATAGCCTGCAAAATAAAAACCCACACCCCATCTCTTCTGTTTTCAATTGAACTGGAATGAATTGTTCTAATTCTGGCATTGAAATTAAAACATCCTAAATTACAGTAATTTGTTTCTTTTTGTGAGTCATTATATACTCTGACACTGCACATTACTCAGTAAGGGTCTAATGCTGCAGAAGTCTACAGGCCAAAGCTCTCAGTTAACTGAGCTGGAGCTCTGCTCTGCAGAGCACACTGCATGCTCCCCAGACTTGAACGTAGTGTGGTCCTCCAGTTATGTAATGGGGGAAATGCACAGTGACGCTGCTATGAGAAAATATTTTTCTTTGCTGAGCCCTCCGTGCTGATTGCTTGAATGGCTTCTGGTTGCTCGTGGGACAGTTGCCAGGCTGCAATCTGCCACAGCAAGAAGGAAGTCTTAAGGGAGAGGGTAACTCATCGAGCCTCCTGGGAAATGAGATTCAGTCCCTACTCTCCTTCCTCTGGCCTGGGGAAGTGCTCTGGGCCACTCCAGGCTGAGCTCCAGCTGTTCTTTTATTTCATTCTGCTGACTTTTAACTGTTTATCACTCACACTTATCCACACTGTGGTGGGGAGGGTGTGAGGAAAGGAGATAAGAGGAAATGCATCCCGGCTGTGCCCATTACCACCAAATGCTACCTGGGGCACTCTAGGGCTGCTAGGGGTAATATCTTTAGGATTAAATGGGAGAGCAGTGAAGAAAATCCTATTGTTACTGTTTTATGAGGAATATGGTAGTATCTTGAGAAGAAAATTACCTGTAAGATAATCAAGGCATTCCAATAATTTCTTCTCCCTGGTAAAATCTAGTGCGAAAGTATCAAAAGTATCATTGAGATTAATTTCAGGAATTAGAACCTGGGAGGATGCAGTTGCCATGGAAACCCTATAATGAAAAGAAGAAGTATTTTAGTACACCCAAAGACACAATAGCTTTTACATCAAGGTAGGATCTAATAATCATGATCACTGTTATTTCTCACAAAGCTTGACAAAAATTTTTACAAGTATTTTATATATATTGTTTCTCAGGAATTTCTCCTGCCACCTTTACTTTTGGAAGTAAAGTCTCCCATAAAAATCTGTTATTATTACATTTTGCCTAATGTGCAGTGCTAGATAAGTCTTTAACAAAATATCGATTAAGCAACAATACACTTTGAATTTTTCTTTCCAGCCACCCTCTGAAGCAAAGTAGCATTAGCACTATTTTTACTTGTGTTTTAAGTGAGCATGACAGATGTTACATCTTTCCAAACCCCTTTTCCCTATGTAGTTTCTTGCTTGAGGCATTCCTTCACAGTACTATCTCAAGGGCTTGGTGCAGATCACCACATCTCCTCAGCTGTTTAGCACAGCACACTGCTGTTAACTTCAAAAAGCACAGGGGAGAGATCAAACCAATAGATGTCAGCACAGTTTATTTTGAAAAAAAAAAAAAAAATAAAGCCAAGCATGTGTGCATATTTACATTTCCTCCAAACTGAAATATTTCCTTGCCTACCTTATTTCAGAAACTACATCCACTTCTGTCTGTCCAAGAGTACTAACATAAAAAGCTGCGTTTTCACTGGAAAACTAGCAGCAGGATTCATTTTTTGGCCTTCAGCCTGATATCTCAACATACTTGTTAGTGGCTAGGTGGATACTGGATATGCTTAAAAAAAGATCAGGTGAAAATTCAACAAAGAGGTTAATAAACCTTGTGTTATACAACAGGAAATTGTTGTTTTACTTTGGAGGTAAATAGATAACCATGAGCACAATGTATGTCAGTTATCTGTCATTTGTGACATATCAGGTCAAAATATTTTGATTGCTTCAATTAAGTTTCCCAAATTACAGTATTTCACTGTAGATGAGACTGAAAAGGCTCCAGGCCAAACACTTGTTAAGAACTGCATTTTCAGATTTCTCATTTAGTATTTTAGGAACACAATTAGAAAATTTAAAAACTGAGCTGTATATTTTTTTTGTCTTCAGCTCAGTTTTCAAAGACTCATCTGAGGAGCTTTCTTAGTCAATAATTCTTGTTATACAGTTTTCATCATCATTTCTCTTTGAAATTTTAATTGTTTTTTCCCCCAGTCCTCCCATCCCCCAGTAGCTCGCCTGCAGTTACAGTTACGCTATCATGTTTCTATATCTAGTAGAGAAACAAGACATATATTTCATTTAAGGCCTGTGTTAGGGCAAAGCCAGGCTGATACACACCTACAAAAAATCATCAATGGCCTTGCTAAGAAACCAGCAAGCAGCTATGCAAGGAGAAGAGCTTCTCTGAATGCCTCCATAAAGCACACATTTATTATGAAGAAGACCATAGCACCAGGCTTTTTTGGACAGTTATTCTGAACAGTGCAAAAGGGACACTGTACTTGGCTGGATGGGGATTTTCTAGGATAAATACATTTCACCCATTGTAAATAATGCATGACGTAAATCACTGCAGGGCGTGTAATGTCTTTGCTATACCTAGTTACTTGTTGTGATTACAATAGGGAATACTATATTGAAATTACTTTGAAATGTGAGTATGAAGAAATGCAATGTGCATAATTTCAGGAGACGATTTTAGCTCTGGTAGTTCAGGACCCTGGTGAGAGTGTTGCAAGTGTAGCCTAGAAGCAAACAAAATATTGCTCACCACATGGGAACAAGAAAGAACTTATGAGAAATAATTTATTAATCAGATTTAGTCTCTTTCTCCATTTGTAATTTATCTGCAAGTACCTGGGGTTTTTCCCCTCATTTTTATTCACTGCTTGGAATGATTTTTTTGATTTGCAGGTCGTTTGCAGTCCTCTCATTATAGATAGTGATCTGTAATAGCCAAGAATTAGATCTGATTGGGCACATATGTCAGCTGGTCTCATTTCTGTTCTCTGAGCATCTCTCCTGTGGCTGTATTTATGATGCAACTGCTCATGTTTACAAGTTCAAAATTGGAGCTTCTCTGAATATTCTCTGGCAGTCTGTTAAAGAGGTTTGTATCACCATAGGTTTCTGTCCTATTGCTTATTCCACTGGATACTGAAAAAAGGCCATACTCTCACCTTCAGCATTTTACTCATGATATTCTTAAATATTCTGTGGTAGTTTTGTTATCAGCTTCAGCTGGGAAAAAGAAGTGGCACAACATAGCTTGGTGATAAAATATAAAACAGGGTACAAGTCTAACAGACCAAATTTAATCCATTGTCTTGTCTTTCCTTGCTTTGCCTTTTTCATCAGAGTTTCAATTCTCTGAACATTTAAAGAGTAACACAGAGTTTCTCACTTCTTTATAAATTGATTAAAATAGCTTTGGTGAAGTTTGATATTTTAGGAATCTGCACACTGTGCTCTGAAGTAAGTGATAGGCTTAAAATACGTATAAATTTAGAGCAAGGAATTTCATTATTTGGATTAGGTTAAAAGTTGGCTGGACATTGTGCAGATACAATGTGAACCCACAGATTAAAATAAACAAATGAAGAAACAAACAAACAAAAACAAACGTCGGAATGAATAAAGATACTTGTTAATCGTTTTTTTCTTCCCTGTCACAGATACTTGCACCTTCTTTTGTTTCTCTTCCTGATGGCTAAATAGCTGATAGTTCCAAGATTTTTCTCTTTTTCATTAGAAACTACTGATGAAACTCAGTGGGAATTTTTTAGCATTCACCCCGTTGCCCTGAAAAACAGACTGAATTTTCTAACAGCACAGTTTCCTGGAATCACTCAGGCCCTTGTCTTCGGGTCCTTGATATATCTGAAAAGGAACTAATATTCTAGAAGTAGTAGAAATTCCTGGCACCCAAGAACCCATCACAGCAGCCTCCATCACTTCCAGACACCCAGCTTGTTGAACCCTCAACACTTTGAGTGGGCTACCTCAGATGTCCTTTCTACCTGCTATTTCGTGAAGGATATGAGACAGCTAAGATCATACCAAAATTCTTCTAGGGAATGCACTTTCTTCCTTATTTCTTTCTCAGTCTCAGAATTTTTAATGGATTAGGAATTTCAGTTTCTAGGCACCTTATTTTTCATTGTGTTTAGTACCAGATCTCTGCTTAGCATCTATTAATACCTACACTGCCTCCTTCATTTGTGCATGCTCTTACTGTTCTAACACTTATTTCACCCCCTTTTCTGGCTGCTCCTCTTTTCAAAGGGATGTTTTGATTTAACATTAGAGTAAGATCCTTCCCACTCTGGAACAGCCCTAAGTAGTGTTATTGAGAAATACAGCATCATCCACCTCTTTGACCACATCACCACAGTAGCAGTACAAAACAATACAGCAATTATGACAACCTATCTGCCTTAAATTGAGACTCTTCTGCTTGTGAAGAGGAACATTTCTTTTTTACCTTTCAGTGATGTTTTTAGCAGTTTGCAGGAAGCGAGCATGATCATTCTCCTTCAGAGACTGCTCAGCCTGAGAGATGAGGGATGTTGAACGCTCAATGCACTGTTTGCAGTTCGCAATCTGCTGAGCCAGTTTTCTCAACCTTACCACCTTGAGTGGAAACACGAGAAAGCAGTCAGTTCTCTAACGTCACAAATCATGATTGCATTTACACTTCCGAGACAGAACTGTCATGCAAAGGGGAAGCTAAGATGAATGGCTTCACTGACAAGAGCTTCTTTCACACCAGTTTGATGGTGAGCGCCTTCCACTAGCCACATAACATTTTTAATAAGGGGACAGGCACAGCCTTTATACCTCGAAGTTTTCCACATGGAAAACAACAGGGGAGAGCCAAAACAAGCACAGCTGGACTATTTTCCAGCAGAAGAAACGTAATTTCCTGGTACTTTCTGCTTACATGATAACTAAAGGTTATTTAGATAACCATTTCCCTGAAGTGATGAGATTTGTGTTAAGGGCAACTTGTGGATCACTTACTTTTTTTTCCTGTTACTGAGGAGAATTTCATAAAAAATCATCTGAAAATAAAACTTGAGTAAAAAGACTGTTAAATTCTCCCAGCAATACATGCCTGCCCTTTTTGTTATGTGCTTGTAGTCAGACAGGGTTTTTTTCATTTGTTGGATATTTTTAACAGGATGAAAGGACAGTAATACTGAAGAGATGATTATTATTACTGAAAACACGTGTTAGAGATAAACACAGAAGATGCGACTGTAGTCATTAGCTGAAATATTAGGAAGGAGCACAGTCAATCCCCCATTTAAAGACAATGTTGGCTAACAAAACTTTTAGTTCCTGAAAGACCTGGGAGACCTTCCTGTTGTTATCATATCAAGATTGCTGCTACTTCATAGTTTGAACAAGAGTGAGAAAAAGGAAGGAAATTAAATAAATCTGGAGTTCAGAAAGACCCAGTTACATGAAAAATAAGGAAACTAAACTGTATGTGGATTAGCAAATTTATAATTAAATAAAATTCCTGATCTCAGCAATTAGGGTATAAACTTTGAAGTTACTGAGTTTGCCGATATAACTGTGACAGGAGTTCAGCATTTTTAGCAAAGATGGTGTCTTCATGCGCCTACATGACAACAGAAGTCAGTAGGAAAATACATCTTTTGGCAAACTTTCAGAAAGAAGACACTATCCAAATGATTTTATTTAATTAATTTATTTATTTATTTTTGGTAAAGAGAAAAATGCTTGTAAGGCATGAAGATTTTGACAATGCTACTGATCTGATCAGGTTCTCTCCTCACAGTTCAAGAGCTCCAGATCCCACTGACTTGGAGGCCCTCCCACTTTGTCCACGTCTTTGCTTTGCTGGATGCCCAAACCTGGATGCAGTAACTAGATGAGGTCTAGTGCTTGCAAGTGTTGCAAGAGGAAGATAATCTCTTCCATTGTTTTACTGGCTGCACTTCTATTGATAAAGCCCATGTTTAGGCTGTTGAGCACCAAGATGTACAACTGCATTGGGAAAGACTTAATAAATGAAGTACTCTCACAATTACTTATGCAAGTAAGGAATTGTATTCACATCCTAGCATTTTATAAATACACTGGGAGGTGGAGATAGATCAATACTGAGAAGTGTCAACAGACTGTCCCATGGAGAACAAAATATTTTCAGTAATTGTGCATTTACTCGGAGATCACTATTTGGTTACACCAGTCTAACCAGAGAAAGGTTCATTTCAGTAAAAAACATCTCATCTCTTTATTTAAGTATTAATTAACAAAATGAACTGAAATAAATGTTACCTTGTAAGTTTTTTAACAATTAGATGTCATGATTTGTGAGGTCTATGTACGAACTTGGCTTTTTGTTTACTTGAATTTTCCTTACGTCTTCAAAAAGTCATCTTTTAAAGGAAGAAAGTTTATGACCTCTGCACTAAAATTATTCTATTTAAATCTTTTTTTCCTGCTATGTGCTTTGTTGGATTGTATAAATTTAGAGTGATAAGTGAGATTAAAGATGGAGCTGCACCATATTATAAGAATCGCATGTCTTAATCTGAAGCCCTGCAGTCACAGCTAGAACTATACTTGAGTTCTTCCATCTCTGTAGCCTTAACTGTGGTCCTCTAAAAAATGTGCCATGCTCTGCCTTCTATAATGACTATGGAGAACAGTCACAGGCTGTTCTAAAAGAAGACACCTGGGGCTGAATTTCCTGTGGCTTTTCAGATTTTCTGGCCAATAAAAAGAGTTCCCTGGGCACTGTAGTCCTTAGCAAAATTTCATGATATGTATCTAAAATGCCTGAATTGTAGCTATTATAGTATTTACATAATTGCTTAGAAAAGACTAGCCTGATTCTCATTTTGAGAACATATGAACAGCTGATCTTAATTGTCCATCTAGCTCACCATCTAGGACAGGCCAGTAGTGGAGGCATCGGATTGGGAAATACTGCTTTCTCAGAACACTGGCTCAGCTAACAGCAATTTGTCTCTCATAGATATCTGGAGTTTGAAGTGGCGTTGTGGTATTTAATTCTGTATTTTTGTTGTTGCTGTTGTTACTTTTTTTTTTTTTTCTATTTTTTCTTCATTTTGTTTTTCTTCCATGAGTTAATCCACCTGTCTCTTGAACCCATTAAATCTTTCAACATCTACAACATTCTGAGGTAAAGTGTTCCAGTCTTTAACTGTCTCTCCATTGGTATCACTTTTTGGTTGAACAAAATGGAACAAAGAATGGGGATAAATTCTAATATCAGCTACATTCACATAAATTTGGAGTCAATTGTATCATAAATCTTCCATGCTTTAATGGATATTAGACTACACCTTCACAGGCAATATACTTTTAGAAAGCAACTTATATATATAACACAAATCCAAATGAATGAAAAATTTTCTATTTTTTTGAAAGCACAACTGGATTCACAGAGTCAAAACAATAATGCAGAAGGCCACCATTTCCATTTGCAGGGGACTTATATTTTGTTAACAGCATGAGGAAATTCAGGTTCTGTCACACAAGGTACAGGACTTGTGGTTTCAAACATGTTTAAGTCAGCCCTTGCCTACAGGCTTTTCATTTCAAGTTAATTGGAATATCTTGACAACTGTGCAAACCATTTAACCTGCTCTTGACTTTGTTCCTTTCCTGAGCTTTTCCCACACAAGAAGAGTTTATATTTGACTTAGTTAGCTTAGCAGTTAAAGAGTAAACACCATGTACCAAGAAAATAAGAATGTTAATTCAGATCTAATGTGTTTCTGGGTTAACAGATAGCTAGCTTAAAGAGTAGAAATTTGAATATATTACTGCCCAATATGTTTGTCACTAATAATCATCACACCTCAGTAATTAGAAATGTATACTTAATTTCCTGCTTGTTTATGAATATTTATTTTTTTCATAAACACGTTAGATTTTCTTTTCTTAAGAACGACAATGGTTGAGATGTATTCCTTATGTAATATTATTTTTATAAGTCTTATAATAAATAATTAAAGAATCTAATCTAACATATTCTTGTTGATAATTGTCAGCCACAATAGCAAGTGTTGTGACATTTTGTGAAGGTGAAAATTTGGGGGAAACAGTCAGACATATAACAGAGTGAAAGAAGCATTAATTAGTCATCACTTTATTATTATTTACTAACAGTGCTATAATTTCAGTGTTTATCCTTAAAAATCATAATCACCTGTAGGAAGAGAAATGCTAAAGAAAGTGTTGAAGTCTAATGTACTAATGTTAACCAATTTTATTCCTCTTTACATGAAGGCAGTAGTGGCCCAGGACTACATAAGGACTCATACAAATTTGTATTAATAGCACCTGAAGTCAAAAAACTGTCAAAAAAAAAAAGCATGAAGAAGCAATGTTGACCTACTTGCTATCAAAAGAAGAAAAGCTGTTACCTTTCCTTCCTTGATTTTGGTTCCAATTATTTGTCGTCTTTGCTGGATTATTTCAATGAGCTGGTCACATTCTTCCATCAGCTTGGTTTCCTGGCGGGATGCATTTACCTACAAAGCAAGCCATGTTGATTGTTAAATTTTTATTTTATTTTATTATTTTTTTTATTTACTCCGCTCTGTGTACAATAAATATGTTGTTTTGCTTTTCTTATTTTTGTGATTTGTGACTGTGACATGCCTGAAAGTTCTATTTGAGTCTTATATGTACCTTCTGTAAGAGATGGGACTAGTAAATAGATACTTATTTTATTTCTATCTCAAATGAGGGATGCCTGGTGCTGTGATAACTGAGTGATGTCAGCTATAATTGACATCAGTGAGAAGTGAAAGCTTTTCCAGAGATGCTTAACCTGTAACCTGTAATGCAAGAAGTACATAGGACTGCAATGAATACTCATGCATGTAAGAGCAAAAGTATTGGAAGTACTGGATCACACAGTCCCTCTACTACAGTATCCTGTCTCTATCAGCTGCTAGTATGACCATCTGCTAGTAGAGCACCTTACAAAAGCCAAGCATGTATGATGGTTCCCATGATTATTGTCTCATCCTCCAACCAATTGCAGATCAGAGTCTTTTTGAAACAATTTTTACGTCATTAGTAATCCTCATAAGAGTTATCTTCTATGAATTTACTCACTCTTTCCTTCCAATCATCTAAAATTTGTTTTCCCATCCCCACCCTCCTATGACAGTGAGATCCAAAGCTTAACTCATAGTCAAGCAAACAACTGTCTCTTTTAGAGGGATCTGAACCCCCTTTCAGCTGCATTTTATGACCCCAAATTATTTTACTGGAAAGAAGAGTGATACCTAACCTCAATTTTCATGCCACCTGCAATTTTCTACACCACTGTTTTATCCTCCTGTAGGGCTGAAGAGTCTGAAATGATTCAGATTTTCTTCACATGAAAGTTGTTCCATACTTCCAATCATTCTTGTTTTCTTCTCTGAAACTTTGCCAGGTCTACCACCTACTTTTTTGTAGGGGGAACAGAACTGTATTATATGCCCAAGGTGCAAGCAAACTATGGCGTTATACAGTGGCATGATACATTCTCTATTTTGCTGTGGTTATTTTTATAACGATTCCTAATGTTTGATTTGCTGAATTTAATACTTGAAAAATTAGTATTTTTTATTATTTTAAATGTCCATATAGTAGTTTCTGAAAGACTCAAGTTACCAAACATCCAACTGACGTTATCTAGTCATGTGCATTTAATGTTTTCTTTATTAGCAAAAGTACAGCAAAAGAGGCAAAGTACTACTGTAAAGTAGTACTTTGACAGTTAATCAACTAGAAAGCATTAGCTGTACTTGTGTAGATATCTACAGTATAAATGTATGAACTGCTGAAACTATTTTTAGCACAAAAAAAAATCCCCACAAAACAAAACATTTTGTTTCAGGTTAAGACTAATTGTTTTAATGAAAAGTCAGCATTTAATATGACAAGCAAAATGGACCTCCCCACCAGCAGCATGTTTAGCTTATATCTAAGAAAGAAAAGAGATGGGGAAAAAGACAAAAGGTTCTAATCATACCTACAAAACACAAAAAAATAAAAGGAGTGATGTCAGACCTGTGTTTCCATACACACTTTGCTAAGAGGTTAAAACAGACCTCAGCCTTGGCCAGTTGCTCCTAGAACCACTCTACATCACCTTTTCCATTGGGATAGCAGATCTAGAGGTGAACCAGAAAAGGGAACAGTCCTAGGTAAAGACTAACTATATTTCCCCTCTTTGGTTATTTTTCTTTATTATCTGATGAGCCCCTTGATCTGCCTCAGCCTTTTTTTTTTTTTTTTTTTCTTTTTCTTTTCTTCCAACAATATGTTTAAACACGCGTTTACCTGTAAGCACATTATGGAGCTCATTAAGATTAAGCAAATGCTTATACATCTGAGTTTGGACCAGGACCAATTTTATAAATACCTTCTTATGTTAAATACATTGTGTCCTCTGGGCAAAGAGGGGACTTGTTTACAAAGGCCTGTTTTCATTTAAATTTCAGATTATCCTTCTCAAACCTTCCTTAAATTAAAAATTAAATCACATATTCCATTGGCTTTAATGTTAATTAAGCTACCAGTATTATAAAGAGAAAGTATATTTTTTTCTTGAAGGCAATAGATGGTGCTGAAAGTGCTGGAGAGATCTACACACAAAAGGTGAAAATGTAAGAAATACTTCCACCATCCAATTTTAGGTGCCTCTTCATTTACACACGTTAGCTGTTTGCTCTGCCTGGCATCCCACCATAGCCCATGAGGAGAGAGAGACCACAGAACAGCTAACACAAAGCCTCTGACAGAGCATATGTCTCTCCAGTGACAGCTTAGGAAGCCTAGAACTAGTCAGTCGACATATCAGTCTTACCCAAGGGCCAAAAATTGGTTTGTGTGAACACTGTTGTTTCTACTCCACCTCTTCTCATTATCCCACCACCCCAGCTGCATAACACCCTCTGGTCATGCACTGTGTTTTGGCGTGAACTTCTGCAGGGCTGTTTTCAATGAGGTGTCCAACCTCGACTCCTGTTTCACTAGTGGATTATAATTCCACCAGAGCAGGGAATCCCAAATGGGTTCAGTCAGAGGCAACAACTGTATTCAATACACATGGGTGCAACTCTTTTTATGTTGATACCAGGGTCTGCTCATGCCAGAGCTGACTTTGGCACTGAATTACTGTAACAGTTCACAGGATTTTTGAGTAGCTTCCACTCAAAGTGCTACTTTTATCACCACTTATATCATGAATGTGTTTTGTACAGCAGATCTAAGTTACCTCCGGGGTAACTGTCATGACATAGTTCAGGAAGGCTAAGACAACAGTGTTTCATTAATGCTCAGACTGGTTTGAAAAATAAAGTATTAATTAAATCTTCAATTACAAAACTCTAGACTAAGAAAAATGAAATTCTTGTAAAAAATCTTTGTATTTCTTACACACTGACTGCAGACATCTCTGTTTTCTTTGAAACCTGAAAAGTATACTCTTTTATAAACTTCATTTGAAGACATTTCCAAATTTTATAGCCTGCAGAAGCTTATTAAAACTGGAAAGGATATTCCAAAACTATTTGATATGTCTGAGCTTTGTATGAATGCCCTCCCCCCTAAAAAAATAATAATAAATTAAAAAAAAAATAAATATATATATATATATTAATTTGGGGGCCCAGAAGGCCTCTGATTCCGTAATAACTTTATAATTGAGCATGTGCCTAACTTTAAGTGCAATATATTAGTGGTGGCCCTAAAGGGACTACTTGTGAGATTAACATTGAATATTATTTACTTGTGTATTTCTGAGGAGTCATATGTCAGACCAAAGAGCCAGAGGCATGGCGTAGGGCTCCGCTGTACAGGTGCTACAGAAATACCAGAATAAGACTCTGCCTTCTACTTGAGTCCTTTGATGAACAGCAACCTTGACAATAACTTCCAGCTGGGGCTGGCCAAGGAATACGAGTTCTGTCTGGTGAAAATATTTGAGGTTTTATGTTCTCTACTTTTCTACAATAAAAACAAACCCTCTTTCCAAAGAGTTGATTTAAAAAGACTGAGAGCCGCATTAGAAAAGTCTGGAGGCTGCATCGCTCACTTTGGTTGTGGGAGGCTCTGAATCATGTAGAGAACAGATTTAAATCCAGGCTTCCTCCATCCCAGATGAATGTTGACTTTTAAATATGAGATTTCCATTGTTGGAGAGTTAATGCTGGACTTGGAGATAATTTTCTGTTGAAAATTCCACTGACATCACCACGCTTAATTTTGACATCAAAAAATTCCTCAGAAATCCATCACCACAACTACAATGAAAGTAAAGTTTTTTGGTTTGGTAGTATCATTTTTAAAAACTTCTCTTCCATACCACAAAACTTTTTAAAAACTGACTAGCAGGCCTTGTTAGGATTTAGAAAAATTATAACTTTTTCACCACCAAACATGCAGGAAAAGATATATTCTAGTCCTGTTGCTTTCATGGGGAATTTATTTCTATTTCTGCAATATTTGAAGACCTGAGACAATTTACTGACAAGCAATATACAAAGATCTTTCCAGGTTCTCCAGATGTAAGGATAAGGTCTAGTGGTCTGAGCCTCAAGGAGTGGGTGTGAAAAGAAAAGAAAAAGAAAAGAAAAGAAAAGAAAAGAAAAGAAAAGAAAAGAAAAGAAAAGAAAAGAAAAGAAAAGAAAAGAAAAGAAAAGAAAAGAAAAGAAAAGAAAAGAAAAGAAAAGAAAAGAAAAGAAAAGAAAAGAAAAGAAAAGAAAAATGGAATTTCCTCAAATCTCTGACAGGGATCTGGAAATCACAAACCTTCCTGACCCAAAGAGGAGAGCAGGCCAGCTGCTCACAGGTCCACAAACTGAGAACTACTTTGGAAAATGTTCTCCTCTATGAAGAGGCTTCCTAGGCTTTCATCTTCAGAGACCTGAGTTAAATTGCAGCTTAGGTCATATGATTGTGGTGGTTTCAAAGTCCCTAGCAGATGTTTGGGAAATCAGAGAACTGCAATGCTGCTAGTGATGCAAGGTTACAGAAAGTTTTGATGGTTAATTCAAAGGCACGTGTAGTGTCATAGAGCTAGACTCATACCAAAGAAAACTAATATATTAGAATCAAAGGATATTTTAACGTTTCAGCAGACTTCTTTGCAGGAACAAATCTCTCCCTTTGGGATTCCTTATGGGTGAGGCAATTTTGTCTGCAAGTGGAAATGCATGAGTCCTTCTTTGGCAAATAATTTCTAAATGACAAGCTAAATAAGACACCCTAAGTTGGAGGTTGCTTGCTTTTTCTAAGACTATAGTGGCTGGGATAAATTAAAAACAGAGTAATTTTTATTCACTTAATCCTACGGCAAAATGAAATAAAGTAGGTTGTAGAAAGAGTATGATCTTTGGAAAGTGAGGAATGCATTTTGGTTTTAGCTTTACTGGCTAAAAATAGTCTGTGTGCCTCAAAATGCCACAGACATGGCTATCCAGGTAAAAAAGAGATACCAGCTTTTCTTGGTGGGTATGAGTTAATAGCT